AAATAAAAGCGTTCATATGCAGTGGCGGACTAATGGGGGGGCGGTCCGCCCCGGGCCCCCGATCCAGAAGGGTTTTTTCCGAAAAAAAATTGGGGAATTTTCAGAAAAATTGACTTGCATTTTTCTCATTTTATTTAAAGAGTAATATGCAAAAGTCAATTTTTCTATTTTGGAAATTTTCAAAATCTTCAAATTTACAAAATGTGTATTAAATATTTTGGAAATTTTAAAAATTTTGAAAATTTTCAAAATCTTCAAATTTACTACATTTTCTATATATATATAAACTGCTCGTCATAAAAATCGACGCACCTAGTTTTTTGGAAAATATTTGAAAGCTCGTTATTGAAAAATTACTGAATCGATTTTGAAAATCTTTGGAAATTCTGAATAGCTGATTCTTTGACTCTTATGTCAAATTTTGGGAATACGATATTTTGCACATAGCATTATACTACAGGGTGTTAAAAGAAGAGATGTATTTTTTCCGAAATTTCAAGTTATTCCCATTCACAGGGCAGTTGAGTTTGATAGTCGTAATAACCCTCCCTAATATAAGTAAGGTAATCCCTCGGAACGTTTTCAAGATTTTGTGAATATCGCGGCTTACTACGATTATATGCCAATTTATCGAAAATTGTCGTTATTTCCCAGTTTAGTAAAAAAAATGGGCAATAGTTGATTCTTTGACTTACGTCTAATTTTGAGAATAAGATATTGTGCACATAGAATTATACTACAGGGTGTTAAAAAAAGAGATGTTTTTTTCCAAAATTCCAAATCCCCATTCACAGGACAGTTGAGCTTGATAGTCCTATACCCTTCCTAATAACAGTTAGGTAATCCCTCGGGACATTTTCAAGATTTTGTGGATATCTTGGCTAACTACGATTATATAGCAATTTTTCGAAAATTGTCGTTATTCTCCACTTAATTCCCAAAAATGAGCAAACTACGAAAGGTATCGATTAGTTATCAACACATCGTTTTCCCAATTTGCATGATTTTATTCCCATCTTCTTCTAGCAGAAAAATAGGGCAGGCAGCTCTTCGTCTTGCGTGGTATGCAATCTTACATCCGTCATTTTATTTTTTAAATGTGATTTGCTGTTTGCATTTTTGGGACTTACGTGAAGAATAACGTGAATTTTCGAAAAACTGCCATATAATCGTAGTTACCCAAGATATCCACAAAATCTCGAAAATGTTCTGAGGGATTACCTGTTATTGGGAAGGGGTATTATGACTATCAGGCTCAACTGCCTCACATGTGAATGGTGATTTGGAATTTTGGAAAAAACATATCTTTTTTTTAACACCCTGTTGTATAATGCTATGTGCACAATATCGTATTTCCAAAATTAGACGTAAGTCAAAGAATCCACTATTGCTCATTTTTGGACAACTGGGGAATAACGACAATTTTAGAAAAATTGGTATATAATCGTAGTTAGCCAAGATATCCACAAAATCTCGAAAATGTACTGAGGGATTACCTAACTGTTATTAGGAAGGGGTATTAGGAATATCAAGCTCAACTGCCCTGTGAATGGGGATTTGGAATTTTGGAAAAAAACATCTCTTTTTTTAACACCCTGTAGTATCATGCTATGTGCACAATATTGTATTCCCAAAATTAGACATAAGAGTAAAAAAATCAACTATTGCTGATTTTTTGGACTAAAATGAAGAATAACGTGAATTTTAGAAAAATTGCCGTACAATCGTGGTTAGCCAAGATATCCATTAAATCTCGAAAATGTCCCGGGGGTATACCTAACTTATTATTATTATTAGGGAGGAGTATTAGGACTATCAAGCTCAACTGCCCTGTGAATGGGGATTTGGAATTTTGTAAAAAAACATCTTTTTTTTAACACCCTGTAGTATAATGCTATGTGCACAATATTTTATTCTCAAAATTAGACGTAAGTCAAAGAATCTACTATTGCTCATTTTTTGGACTAAACTGGGAAATAACGACAATTTTCGATAAATTGGCATATAATCGTAGTAAGCCGCGATATTCACAAAATCTCGAAAACGTTTCGAGGGATTACCTTACTAATATTAGGGAGGGGTATTACGACTATCAAACTCAACTGCCTCATGAATGGGAATAACTTGAAATTTCGGAAAAAATACATCTCTTCTTTTAACACCCTGTAGTATAATGCTATGTGCAAAATATCGTATTCACAAAATTTGACATAAGAGTCAAAGAATCAGCTATTAAGAATTTCCAAAGATTTTCAAAATCGGTTAAGTAATTTTCCAATAACGAGCTTTCAAATATTTTCCAAAAAACTAGGTGCGTCGATTTTTATGACGAGCAGTTTATATATATATATATATATATATATATATATACAGTGTGTCCCAAAATTAGGGGGCCAAACTTAAACAGTGCATTCTTTATAGAAAAATAACACTTTTTTGTTTAATAAACATATATCAAAAAATGCACAGTGCATTCTTTATAGAAAAATAACACTTTTTTGTTTAATAAACATATATCAAAAAATGCCCCCTAACGGAGCTACGCCTCCCTAAATAGGAGCTTAAGAGCATCATTTTTTTTAAACTATTCCTAGAGGGTTGAACATGAAGACCTGAATTTTTGGGACTGGTAATTTTGACATTCTGAATCTGGATCTATAATCAAAACTGTTAAAATTTAATCATAGGCGTAACATTTGAGGGGGCAAATTTACAAAAACAGCCCCAACTTTTTGCAGAGCGTGTATTTTAATGTTTTGTTATAAAATTATGAAAATGTATACTTTTTCACGAAAAATAGGTACTCTTGCTTTGAATCGCTCAGATGCACCATTTTCGAGAAAATTGCAATTTAAATTACTATGCTTAGCATAATTTCTAATATTTTCATTAAAAAGCTTTGGGACAAAAGTGACGTTTGGGTTATTTGCTGACTTTACATTTATTTTTATAGTTTAGTTAATATTTTTTGGATCGATTTTTGTTATTTTTTATTAAGGAGCGATTTTCCAAATTTTAACACAAAATTTTAACGAAAATGAGAGGTGTGTATGCTATGCAGAGCAATTTATAAATGCATTTTTCTCGAAAATGGTGCATCTGAGCGATTCAAATCAAGACTACCTATTTTTCGTAAAAAACTATAAGTTTTCATAATTTCATAAAAAAAAATTAAAATATTATCTCGGAAAAAAGTTGGGGCTATTTTTATTACTCCCCCCCCCCCAAATGTTACGCCTATGATTATTTTTTAACAGTTTTGATCTTGGGTCTTGATTCAGCATCTAAAAATTACCAAAGTGTCAAAATTTCATTTCTTCATGTTTAACGCTCTAGGAATAGTTTTAAAAAAACTATTCTCTTAGGCTCCTATTCAGGGGGCCGTAGCTCCGTTAGGGGGCATTTTTTTATACATGTTTATTTAACAAAAAAGTGTTACTTTTCTATGAAGAATGCACTGTTTAAGTTTGGCCCCCTAATTTCGGGACACCCTGTATATATATATATATATATTTATTTATTTTGTTAAAAAAACACTTGTCGCTTCGAGGTTATGTTTGGTTCAGTTTTTTTTAACACTTCACTTCAATACACAACAGAAGGCCTTTTAATATGTCTATGCCTTTTTACCATTTCAAAAAGCAATTGTCGGGTACGTTTTGCATCTGAACGACTCATAAATATTTATAAATACATATACGTAGAATTAGAATGATTAAAAAAATCTACTATTTTTTTTACTATGATATCGAAAAATTGGTAGCTGGGCATTTTGTATCTCACTAACAAATGAATATAAAGGTAAGCCCAATAAACATTTAAATAGGGGATTAAATGCTCTACAAAAAGGTGTAGGTACTATGTTTTTTTCGTAAACCTAGCCATTTAAAAGATACCTTGGGTCAAAATTTAAAGAATTGAATTTTTTTTAATTTTATAACTCGTAGAACAGTAAGGATTTTAAAATGAGTAGTAAATTTTTTGTTGATCAACAAAAAATTTACGAAAATTAGCTGATCTACAAAAAAGGTTTCTTTAGTTTTTTTTTTAATTTATGCGTTTCAAAATATAATCGCAACTAAAATACAACTTATACTTATATTTTTTTGTCGATTTTTAAAATATCTTTATAAATTTGTGTTCTTAAGCTTTTAACTATTTCACATTTTATTCTGAAATTTTATTTCAAAATATTCCTTTTATAAAACGAATTTTGGTGTCTAAGCCTCTTGGATGAGAGACATTTAAAACATTTATTTGTTATAAAAATAATTACATTATTATTCATACAAATGAATTAATCAGGGGAAAAGTTTAAAAAAACCTTGTCTAAATTCTAAATATTCTATTCTGTATGTTATAAATTTTTTCAAACTTTGACCTAAGATATCTTTTGAATGGATAGGTTTACAAAAACACCTTAGGATACCTTTTTTGCAGAGCATTTAATTCCTTAGCTTTTTATTCATTTATTAGTAAGATACATCGGACTAATGTGAAAATGACAGATTGATATAAGGATCTTACTCTTAATAGTAAAAGCTCATACATAGATAGGCTTCTTTTGAGGTGCTCAGCAACCAATTCTTCGATATCATAATTAAGACAAAAGGATAGTCACCCTAATACATATTCGTATATCTATAAATGGATAACGCGTATCGAAAAGGAACCAAGCGCCAAAAACTTTTTCTGGGCTTAGTAAAATTATTTGTCAAATAACTGATCATCATTTGAAACTTTTCTCAAAAGGATTGAGAGGGTTCCCAAATCATTATTAATTTTTTGAGCAGCATTAAAAATGATTTTTGCAAATAATTTTGTTAACCACAGAAAAAGTTTGGCGCTTGGTTTCTTTTCGATAAACGTTATCCAAATATATATTATTAAATCCATAAGTTTGTACAAAAGCATAAATCTATATAGATTTATGCTTTTGTACAAACTTATGGATTTAATTTTAGTTTTTAAAACCTGTATAATCTTTAATCTTTTTTCAGGTGCGGTGTCGATACAGGTTGCTGTGAAAAAGACATGTTTTGTCAAACTAAAGCCGAGAAGAAAGTTAATGCAACAATATTTGTCGAAAAAATTTTGCCCTCTGGGGAAAATCAAGGGGAATGTAAAAGTGTTTCATATACAAGTGCCACCGCTTGCCACTGTCTCAAATTCAAAAACCCATATTAATCATTTTAAATCAAAATCGTATGGTGCAAAAATTGGACCAAACAAAATTTGGCATAAATATTTTATCATGTCTGTAATTTACAATCAAAAACAGAGCAAAATGCATACACACATAAAATTAGAAACTTGTCAAAACAAACAAATAATTATATTTAACTTAAGTTATTGAGCAAAAAGCACTTATTTTCATAAAATAGTTTTCATAGATCTCATTTTGTATTTGTAAAGTCCTAATATAGTTCCTAAACCTTGACTGATTTAATGTAATAATGTGACATCCATTTTAACAATTTTATTGGTAGTATAAATCTATAGATTTATTAATATTGCCTAAAAATAAGAAAAAACTTTAGTTTTGTTCCCGAGATAGTGTTGCAATTTTTTTTCTTATATCTGTAAAACCTATATAAAATATTGTAACTACCTGATAAAAATATGTTTGTTTTCGTGTTATGTTGCTTTTTTTATATATTTTTACGTTTTGAGTATGTGTGTATTTTTTACTTTACTTTGGCTAAAAAGATGTGTAAAGTAAAATTAGTTTTCTCGAAAACGAAGCAAGATGCGAAACACAGTAATAATTAATATTGTCTTAAGACAAGAGGTTTATTTCTGTTTAATGGTGGAACAAATTAAAAGCAGTGGTGTTATATTTTTTCTTATAAAATAACAGGTAAAGTGGCACTAGTACTAGGGTTTAAATGTGTCGAAAAAAAAACGGAAAAATTGGGTAAAAAAACTGTTATTTCCGTTTTTTTCCAAGGCCTTGGAATTGGCTTTTTTTGAAAAAAAATGATTTTTTTCTGAAAATATTCAAAGAAATCAACAATTCCAGATTATTTTAATTAAAAAAAAATATCCTTAAGGATAATACATTTATTACAGAAAAAACTGAATTATAATAGGAAAAAGTGAATTTTCTACTAATAATTAATATTCGAAAACTCACTTTTTTCTTACCAGTGTACAGATTTTAGAAAAATTAACTAAATTTTTTCGTATTACTCTTTGAATAAAATTTAAAAATGCAAAAGTACATTTTTCTAAAAATTTCCTAATTTTTACGATTTTTTTCGAAAAAACCGTTTTTTTCCGCCGGCTAGTACAAATAATAAAATTACATCAAAAACTGCAGCTTATATAAGGGAAGACAAGAAGTTTCAAGAAAATCGGAATAATTGTTTTTTAGATATTGGAATTGCTCTGTATAAAACGTTGTTAACGAAATATCTACTGAAATGAATATTTTCAAGGAGTGATATGTTAATATAAAAGGTGATTTTAGACTTTATACTTACATAACATTTTTAACGTAATTAATTTAATTTTGATATTTCTGTAAAACTATGAATAATTCAATTACAGTATAATTTTGGTGTAACGTTTTTTTTAAAACCCATACATTATAGAAAAATTAAATTAGATAGCCATATGTTCTATAAACTTTTTTGTTTTAGTATTTAAATTTTGCAGTTCATGAGATTTATTTATAATATGATTTAAAAAATGTAGTTATTACTTCCAAACAGATTAATTAATTCTATAACGATGATGATCCAATATGATCCTTATGGAATGACACATTTATTAAAATTGTATGTAAAAATTATGATTCAATAAAATTGTAAATAACCACAAAAATTTAAATTAAATTATACAGATTTTCTACTAAAGAAATATTTTTCTTATGAGCATGTTTATGTTAATAAAACAATTTGGTAACTATTGAAATCCTTTAAAAGGCGACTTATTTTTATTAGTAAAAACCACAATAACAGGTCAACAACATATTTTTATTGTGCAAAGCTTTAATTGATTCCTACTTTCTTCATAATAGGTTTATATAAGGAAGTAATAATAAAAAAATATCTATTATGCCAAAATTTGTATACAGATGAAAAAATTGAACAAGTATGTGACTTAAATTTAGATGAATTAGCCATGTACAGGGTGTCACCAAATAAGTTGTCATCCTTGAAGAGGATGCTAGTACACGTTAAAATAAGAAAGTTTTTTTTCCATCCTTTTTGCATTAGTGCCATTTTAGAGGTAAAAACAATGATGATATATAGGAAAGGTCAGTGACATCCCGTGGCTTCCTGGTTTTGTCAACAAAAATTCATATTAACAGTAGCTCTAATACAAAAATGAAAAACTTTCTTGTTTTTTATTAGGTGACACCCTATATGCCTTATGGGATATTAATATTAAAAAAAACACATTCCATGTTTGTAAATGTGATAATTAGTGTAGGAAAGATATATTTATGTATTTTTAAATGCTTCAAATTATTTTGTATTGATTAAAAGCCTAATACAAATATTTAGTTTTGTTTAACCCATCCCTTTTCAAGATTTAGAAGGAATTAAAAAACTTAGTGGATTTAACCATTTATTATTAAGAACACTATATCTACTGTACGTAATGAAATTTAGCAATAACTTTAGTAATCAAACAAAAATTTACATGAATCCTAAACATTATTTAACACTTATGGTACAAAAAGGGTTTAATTTAAACTGAATATACCTATTTGGAATGAAAATGATATTAATGCGATTAAAAACGGCCGTATGGTCTTTGCATTCGTCCTCTAGCACGTCGAGCTACGGCCCTATTGAAATTAGGAGATTGGTTTGGTCTTCCCCTTTGAACATCTGGAACAATAAGAAAATAGTTATTTATGTCCTTAGGCTGAGAAGTGAGTCTTTTGTGCTGAGCTACGCGTCGGCCTACAATTAAGCAAAGCACAAAAATAACTTCCCAGCCGCATGGCATACAACGCTTTATCTTTAAGGCATACTTTTATTTTATACATGGAACATACAAAATTGTATAATTTTATAATAACTGTAATTATGGTCAACAGCTACTTTATTCTATTCAACAAAGTCAAATAAAAATTGCCAAAATGGCAATCAAAACGCCGCGCGTGTTAAATTAATTTTTTTTTTAACGCGGATACATTAAATATTGTAAATGCAAAAATTTCAAAAACGAATCCTCGAATCGACCTTTTTTGCGCAAAAATGGTGAGTAATTGATATTTTTAATAAAAACATAAATAAACAAAGGTGCGAAAAAGTTACCCATAATGCCTCAGAGAGCGCCCTCTAAAATCTACATATTGTATGCAAAAATATTGATTTAAAAATAAGTTAATTAGGAAAATCGAAAATTAAATTTTCACTGGGATACCCTGTATCTCGGTTACTATCAACTTTCCAATTAAGCTAAGTTTATTTAAATCGTTAATATTTTCTAAGGAATCTGCAGTTTTACTGTGTACCATTAGTTATGGGACACACTGTATGTTCTAATTTGAATGTTTGCATATTGAAAAAAACGTTTTTTTCATAATATCTCGAAAACAAAGGCGAATTGAGCATAATTATGGTCATTTTTGGAATTAGCGCACTTAAGTTACCCTAGACAAGTTATTGGCAAACAAAAAAGTTATTTGTTAACCAGGGTAATTAATAAAAGTAGAAAGTAAGGTTAGCTTGATCTGACAATAGTAGAATTTTTTGATTTGGTCCAAACGGGTGTTTTACAGACTAGGAGGTAAAAAAACTTTACCTGATTGGTCTAAATTATTTTGTTTAAGTTAAACTGTTTAACACAATTTCCCTCCCATGAAAATTTTTAACAGATTTTAAAAATAGAGGTTAAAAAACCCGTGTCTCACCGTTTTACGAAATAACGTCATTTAATTTTTTTATACAGTAATTAACATATACAGATATTTTATTCTCTATTTTGTTATAAATAATTTTTGTTTAAATATTGTATGTTTTTACCTAATAAAAAAATATTAATTTAATTTATTTTAATAAAAAATAGATTTTTATTTATCTTATATTCAATATATGTTGGAAAAAATTCTTGGTCTTTTAGTTTGACACCCTGTATAAAATTTAAATAATTTTAAAATGTATGGTTCTCCATTTGTTTAGTAAATATATTTTTTTAACTATACAGTCTAGCTGTTATTAAAGCTGTTAAATTATGTGCCAAGACACGGGTATCATTTTTTTAAGTCTTTTTCAAAATCTGTAAAAAATTTTCATGTTATGAATCACTTTAGTAGTGAGTGTTAACAATAATAAAGTTTAAATTATAGAACGCTTAATTTTGCAATAACAAAATAGTAATATCTTACATTAGGTCGGGTATGAAATTTCTATAGTGTCCTCTAAACAAACATTTTCAATTTTTTTTCTATGGCGTCTATAAAGTATACGAAATAGATAATTGGCGACTTCAAAAATTACAAAAACCAATATGACGATTTTGTAAATTATAATTATTGATTCCGTTCGAGAAACCATACAAAAGTTTCTACTTTGTTGGGTCAAAAAAACAAACAAAAAACCCAAAAGGGATGTCTTTGGCAATTTACAGCGAACATATTTGATAATAATTCTTTGATATTTGGCTTCACTTGTGTTTATTAAGGACCATTTCACGCTATCACGATGTTTGGATATTGTTTAAACTTATTATCTAATTCTGTTTAATCTTCTCAAACAGCGCTTCGTAAATTGTCGTTATTGAAGTGATTTCAATTCACAACCGATATACGAGGCTCCTTTGCATCCGCGCGCGCGGAAATGTGCTTTGACCTTTTATAACTTTTACCTACATCAGTGCAAAAGTAATCTCAAAATCCAACGAGTGGTCGACAACTCACATGCACACTAGTGATGGTAAAAAAATTACCTAAAATATATACTTATGTTATAAATTTATAACAAAAGTATATATTTTATAAAATTAATATTTTTCATAGGGTTTTAAATCATTTTCGGAATAAAACTTTAAAGTTTGCTGCAAACTACCTAAATTTAATTTATCAAATTTTGAAAAAAGTTTTCATGAAATTTCATAAAATTTTGTCCGAGATTTAATACAATTAAATTAAAACACTCAAATTTTAATTAATTTACTATTAATAAAAATAATCATCATTTTTAGAATAATTAATTTTTGGTAATTCACAAAGCGTATGATGGTCATAAAAAATAAAAACAAAACAATTTTTGACATGGACAAGTGTCGCCATCTAGATTGTATTATAGTAGCATAAAAACTCCAAGGTTGGACCAAAATACTTCCCAATACAAGACAAATAGGGGATTTCTATTAGAAATCGTCGTTTGACAGCTTAGCTGCACAATTTAAGTTTTTAGTACTGTTAACTTTATTATATTATAACCGATGGCCTTAACCCAAGAGGCTCGGGTTAAATGGTGGGTAAAATTATCTCTTAAAAATACTCCATTAAAAAAAAAGTTTTTTAAGCATATACACTAAAGAAGCATCGGGTTTTCGCAACGCGCGCGCCATCTGGTGGTGTTCGATAGAATTGTCAACAATACATTTAAAGCATACGAACTGCCCATCATTTTTAATCGAAAAATTTTGTTTAATTGTACAACTAAATCGCGCACGTTATTTGTGTTTCGCTTTGCAATTAAAAACTAAAAAACTTTGGTTAACTACTCGATTTCGATTTACATTTACATATATTATTGATTAAGAAACTCAAGGCTTATGTACTTATATAGTACGTTAGGGTGTGTATTTTATCTAAGTGATGTGAATTATTGTTTTTAATTGTAAATAAAATTTAAGAACTAAATCGTTGCATTTTCATGTTTTGCCAAAGGATCCAATTCGGTGCGTATATTTGTTGGTGCAGAATTAACTAATGATAACTTTACCTAATATAATTTTTATTTAAGTTTAGAAATTTAACAAAAAATTGTTGTACAAACATAACCTTAAAATCGAATATTGTTATTGTTATTTAAGTCCTCTAAAAAAGCGCAGACAACGGCATTTTAAACGGCAAAATACACCTACGAATTCATGGCAACATAATATTATATATAATACATATTATAATACTTGTTCTTGGTATTACACTGTTGCGTGGAGACTTTCTTAATCAACGATTTTAATAATGCTAAATGATGTTTGAATTTAGACGACTTATGTTTTATGATTTTTATCTCATACTGTACTTTAATGTGCCATTTCCCGGACTCATTTGAGTCCGGAAAATGATACATTACATCACTAGGCCGGTAAAGTAACTTTACCGGACTGGTATATTTTAACTAACACATTATAAGTTTTGCGCCATTCACAGAATATCTCGTATTCCTTTTGATATCGTCCGGAAGACTTGACCGGGATAAGTTTCGCCGTCGCTTCAGAACTTTTTTTCAAAATCTCTGCATCCATTTTATTCGAAATTATTCAAAACGATGCTGAATTGACAAACAAGACAATCAATAAAAAAAACTCTTTGTTACTGTTAGCAACCGATTCAAAGCATACTACATTATCACCCTATGTTACTGGTGCTACATTTTATAGTTTGTTTAGACAATACTGATACCATCATGTACTGACACCTTCACCTGAATATACAGTTCAATTACCAAAAATTTGATAAAAATATTGAACAGTATGAAATAAAACATTGTACGATACACGGCTGTGAAATGTCATTAAAGTACTTGTCTAGAAATTCCAGACTCGGCTCCTTCGTCGCCTCGTCCGAAAACATCTAGACTCGTACTTTAATAAGCCATTTCCCGGCCTTGTAACGTAAATTACTATTCCTGAATTGAATTGAAATGTTTACAATTTTCACGTTAATCATCACTAAATGTGTATTTATTGTATCTAATAGGTACAATAGATTTTCACAAGGCCCGTATGCAATTTATTTCTTCATTCGGATTTCCACTGCTTATTGGGAAACCGGTAAAAACTTAAAGTCCATGTCTGACGGTGCAATTTCTCGCGGCGACTTTGTTGCGGCGACTAGTTGCAGCGACTTTCTCGCCTCTAGGGTGTTCACACGGTGCAACCAAACTGACGTTATTTTCTACTAGGATTGCCAACATAACCGAAAATTACTTAGTTGAAAAATAAAAATACCTAAACAAATTTAATGTTTATTTAAATCGATTTTGTTTTTATTTTAAAGTTATAAGTATTTTGTTGTGGAAAAATAAAAACACTCAGATTAAAGCACACGCAAATCACATCTGTCATTCCACAGCTGATAAATATTGAGTACCAACCAAAAAATTTAGTGAAAATTCGTAAAACCCTAAAAAAGTTACTAAGTCGCGGCGATTTTATTGCATGAAAATAGAACATGTTCTATTTTGAGACAGGTTAGATCAGCTGATTAGTTGCATCGTGTGACCACCAAAAAATCGCGGCGACCTAGTCGCCGCAACAAAATCGCCGCGAGAAGTTGCACCGTCAGACATGGACTTAAGTTAAGTCACTTAACCCAGGATTTCCCCTCGAAAAACACCCAACAACACAACACATTGTGCCACGGCTTTTTTCCGATATTTTTAACATTTTCCAGCTTTATTCTAAAAAACACTCGTTTGTAACGTACACGTTTGACAGCTGCTTATTAAAAGCTGAATTCTGGTTACGATGATAACGATGCTTCTTTAGCGTATAAAATTCCGTACAAAAATTTTGAACATAACCTAAAAATGATGTGATAGTATCTAGAAGAAATATAAAAAAAAAATAGTATATACAACAGGGCGGCGAAAGCTTAATAATTGCCTCGCATACATTCTACTGCCTTGGCATGAGTGCAGTTTGATCAAACTTTGTTCATTTGCTTCTATTAGTCATTATTTTTGTCACTATTACTTTTTAATTTCCATTTTATCGTAAAAATCCCTTTTTTTTTTATCTTAAAAGCTTTTTCAACTCGATTCTAATAGTTCATAAAATCACTCTTTTAGTTCAAAAATGCATTTTAGTGAGCGAGTCTAATAGAGACCTGTTAAAATAAATGTATTATGTATGTCACTGTTCTTACCTTGTCTGAAATGAGGGCTTCTTTGATCGGCCCATATGATCGGCGTGGGTCCAGACCTGTGCATGCCTCCCCTGCCCGGAGATTGCCGTGGAGTGTTCCTGCGGGCCGAGTTCGCACCCCTCTGAAACCTTCGAGATTGCGTGCTTGGGGATGCCTCGGCTTCTCTGCCCTCCTCCTCCCCCTCTTCGGTCGCGGGAGGTTTTTCGCCCTCCGAACTCACCTAAAAATGCACGTCAGTAACTTCTATACGTCTGTAAGGTGTATTGTAGTTACCCCATCGTCTCCTTCGAGCATTTCTTCAGACTGTTCTGATTGCTGGTTGCCCTCAGAAGACGTTCCAGCAACGCTTGGGGGCCCCATACAGTCCCCTGAGCTACCCTCACCTGTGTGCTCAGTATCGTCTACCCCACTAACTGTTATAGAGGGTAGTTCGGCTGAAACAATTAAACCATATATTAATTGACTCGTAGCCAAAATATTTCCTACTATTCAACTTCAAATCTAAGGTACATTGGAACAAGTTACTGCAATGAAATAATAAGGTAGTATTTACATAGATTGATTTTGGCAATAAGTCAACTAAACTGGCCATTTTCAACAACGCTTAAGGATAAAATAAAAAATAAAATAAAATAAGAGTACAAATTTATTTCAACAAAAATACATTAAATTCAAACACAAACTTAAAATTGAAAAACAACAAGACAATTAAAAATATTTATCACTCAATAATCCCCATTCTTCCATGAATCACTTGTTCCACTCATTACTAATTATTTGCCACTAAGCTGGTTGTGCTTATCGCCTGTTTGAACTTAAAAAAGAGTATTAATTTAGTTACTATTAAGTTGGATGTTAAATTAGGTAAAATTTGCTAAAACAAATTATAACTATACTGTCTACATTTGAAATAAGTTAATAATAACAATAATTATAATTAACAATGTTCTACACAATTTGAGGTTTTTTTTACTACACAAAAGTCCCACTGCATAAAAAACCTCTGTGTACCACTTTGAATTTTATTAGGTTATCTATCTGTAAGTTTAACACTAATTTCGTCCTATTTTCTGGAAATAATACAATATTTGTATTTTTTGTGTGTAAAGGTCTGAATTTTAATCTTAAAACAAATAAATTTTGTACTATTGATTGTTTAGTTAAAATAGATTTATTATCAATAAAAAATTATTTTTTATCATAATTATCCCTAAAATAATATATGCTAGCTATAATTCACGAGAATGAGGTTTGCGTCCAGAGCTGACAGGCGAGTCGATCATTATATTCGCCCCTCGTATACAACGTGTCCAAAGTTATCTGCTCACCATTGCTACCATTTTTACTCCGTTATTATTGGAGCTTCAGTCAATTAAACTAGCAAATTGGTGGTATTTTTTCTTCCGATTAAAGTGGTGGAAACAGAAAAACAATTGAACGTCGGGTTTTCGAAATAATCACAAAAATACATTTTTTAAAAGGGACACCCTGTTTATTATTACATATTTTAAAAGACAATTTCCTTTGGAACAAAAAAATATTATTGCATAAATACCATTAACATAAAAATAAACAATTTGCTATGTAATTTAACCGACTACACAGCAAACGGAAAATTATAGAAGTGTGATGACGCCACGTTTGAATATTGTTTTCTAAATCTCCCCACGGTATAGAGTTGTATTCGTCAGTCGAGCGTTTCAATACTCTCCACAGTATAGAGGTCGTAATTTCACTTTTGAACTAGTATTAAAATGAAAACTATTTTATGCTTCAAAAAAAACTATATACGAGATGATTTTTTTAATTTTATTAATTAATTAAACTGTGTTGAAAATTTTTCCTAAAGGAATAATTGCCAATGGGCCATTAATTCATTTGTTCGTAGATGCTACAATAACCTGCACTGGTGTATACTTTTTGATCAACCAGATTTAAATATTGCTGAACTAACATAAAACTTCCAGTGGAGATGTGCAGGATCTACCAAGAGACCTCATTACTAAATTATTAAAGTTTAATAGCATATCGATCATTTTTTCAACATAACCTCTGAAATTTTTAATACAAATATAGGTACTTTATATAATACATAAATATACTTTACATCATATCCTCATATCATATCCTCTGTGCTTTGAGTTGTAACGGTAAATAAAAATCAGACAAAGGAACCAAAGAAAGGAATTATTTTCAACAAAATCATATGCAGAAATGAGAATAATCAAACTACTTGCATCCATCAAAAGATTAAAACTTCTTGCAATATTACACCCTCTTTTTATACTCTCAGAAGAGTAGAGTAAAGAGAAGTCGAAACCGTTGCGATATTGCATTGCGCTGTTTTTGTATAATTCTCGGGGACATTAACGAAAATCATTGCCAGTAAAATTCGAAAAGCTTGATTTTCCATGTCTCTGAAGAGAATAGGAATCCGAAGTTGCTGCACCATTGGACTGAACCCTTTTTTAATAATTTCTAGAGACATAAATGACTGCACCATTCGACAGGGTCGAGTTTCTACCTCTCTGTTGAATATAGAAAATCAAAATAATGTATCTTGTAAGACACCATTGAGTTTGACTTTAAATATAGTCGTGCATAGGTATAGAGCCGAAAAATATAAAAACAAAGCACGATTCAATACAGTTATGATAAAACTTTAAGATTTGATATTCAAACGCGGAGTCATCCTATACACTTCTATAATTTTCCGTTTGCTGTGTAAGTAGCTCCAATAAACTTCTGTCAGACTTTTTACCAATCTAAAACCCGTTGTTAGACAGGGCGGTTATAATTGTTACCATTATACACGGAAAACCCCAAGTATGTCAATAATATGCAATGGGAGTAGAAAAATACCATTTATTAACTAACTTTAAACGACAGACATACAATGTTGAAATTTGTTTTTAAACGATTTCAATGATTAAACAAGTCATTGACTAAAAAGTCTTGTGCATACGACCATATAGCAGTGATGTAATGTATCGAGATACATGTATCTAGATACTGGATCTACATACATTTTATGTACCTAGATATGTATCGAGATACTTAAAAAAATCAGGATCTACTTTAGTATCTAGATCCTTTTGAAAGTATCTAGATCCTTAGATACAAGATACATTTTATTTTACCCAACCTGATTGCAACTCCACACCGTGTGGGCCACACGGAAAATGAACATCCAATGGATATACTCTATGGATATCCAGGATATATACATACCTACATTGGATATAATAAACAATACAAATAATAAAAAGATATTTTATTTCTTTTTCCCTTTAATCCACTTTGGAGTGCGAAGTGCATAAAGTAACTCTTAGGCACTAGTGAGTAAAGTTAAACAAAAGCGCTGTAGGTTACCTTTAGTTGGCTTTGAAGGCATTTTTCTTCGTTCTGATAATTTTGAATTTGTACTACAAATTTTGTAGTAAGCTTTCATATGGCGCGTAAATATAAAATTTATTTCCGTTTTTCATGGATATTTCGTCAATTTTATCAAAACAGTTTTATTTTATAGTTAACACGCTTGTTTATAAGGTCCAAAAATTTTTTTTAACATAGTATCTGGAAGTAACTTAGATACTTTTTGAATGTATCTGTATCTGTACCCAGATACTTTTGGGAAAATGTATCGGTATCTGTACCCAGATACATCTACCAGAGAGTATCTGTATCGGTACCTAGATACTGAAAAAAATGTATCGGTTACATCACTGCCATATAGTATACTATAAGTTAGTAATTGATAGAACTCAAAAAAATAATAAGTACATTTATTTAAATTTTTTTAAACTATGTTTTAAAGCTTCGTTTTCGAGACACAGGGTGGTAAAGTATATTTATTCTTTCAAAAATTGCCAAAACTCCTTCGCCGAATTTAATAAAACTTTTCAAGTTTTTAGTAATGAATAAAGGGTTACATTAAATTGAATTTAATTTAGTTAATCCAGAGGCGGCGCTGGGGCTTCCCAACTAGATATTTATTTCTTTAATTTTTATTTATTTATTTAATATGTAAGTTTTATATTATTTTAAGTAATTAAAAACATAACTTTTTTGTCTGCTGCAATTTTCTTTATCTTGTTTAATTTTCAAGAAAAAAATATAATTTGTTTTTTCCCTTGCCTCTGGAAAAATTATGGTTACGAGCGGATAAACGAAAAATTGCATCAAATGGTATAAAAACCTAACCTCAAAGTTTGTATGGGACAATAAGCTTAAGCAACCCCTGTTTCTACGACACTGTGTTCACTCGAACAATTGTAATTATGTGTGAATATGTGTTTTGCTAGTAAGTGACTGTTCGCAAAATATCACCTTTCCAAGTCTACCGTAGTAGAAGTTATATTAAAAAAACTGATACTTAAGTAACACTTTATCACCCTGTATCTTTTAAACATACGTAATTAGGAAAAATATTTATTTAGGTTTTCGTCTTATTTTGACTTGCTTAATCTGCCCCTAAATTTATGCCACTAAGTTTAGGGACACCTTGTATAAAAAAAATTACAAATCTAGAATTTAAAATACCAAAATCAATTATCTCAATTTACTCAGTTTTAGTCTGACGGGAGATTGTTAACTTTGCTCTGACAGGCCTCAAGTTTACTAAGAAACGTATAGAAAAAAACTGAAAGCTGAACTTACCATCTGAGTGTGTAGATTGATGAGATCCGGCATCGTCGGCTCCGGGTACGGCCTCCTGCGGCGAAGACTGCAGCGGCGTGGTGGGCACCGAACGTCCCGTGCCTGAAACAAGCGCAAAAGAGGAAAACTTTAGCAAAGACTTGAGTGTTGGAGGTGGCGGGGTGCTCATACTGTCGTCGTCCAGGTGGCCGACCTCCAGCGTCTGCTCGGGCACCGCCTCGCTCGAGCCGGGCACGTTGGCCGACGACGTGTCGCCGAACGTGAAGCGGCCGCTGGTCGGCACTTGCGGCGAGCTGACCGCCTCGCCGAACCCGTCCGATCTCCGAGGCACGAACAGCGTGGGTGTGGACGGCACGATGCCGTCGTCGCCGATGTCGTCCAGGCCGTGCGAGAGCAGCAGCTGCGACTGCTGCTGCTGCTGCTGTTGGCTGCTGCGCGACGGCAGCGGCGTCACGTGTCGGGTGCGAGAGAACGATGCCTGAGACATCGACATCGAGGTCGACGCTTGCGACAAAGTTACCGACATTGGACCCCCCGAGCCTAACACAACAACATTTTCTATTTGTATTTTTTCACTTTTCCATTAGTAACTTTTATCATACTTTTTGTTAGTTGTTAAGTTTAAGGGCATTCCAGTCTAGAGCTCTATTAAATCCATATACACTAGAGTGATTCAAAAAAAGTGACTTCCCTTATATTTTCGATTACACCCCCTCATTTGGTAGTTTACTCTATAAAAAGAAAAATGCGACTTAAAAATTCGAAATAAAAAAAAATTAGAGTTCGCTCAAGTCGATTTTAGTTTTTTTGCCGAAAAAAAGAAAAATTTTGTTGAATCTTCAAAGTCGTGTAAAATCGACAAATTTAAATAAAATTGCATAAAATTTTAATAGAATATTAGTGAATCTTTATAGTTTACGAAAATATTGTTCATTTTTTAAATTTTGAAAAAAAAACATTTATTTTTAAGGAAAAATCTTTTGTTTATAACAATTGAGCGCCTGTCGCGCACGACATATTGTGCATGTGAAATTATTCTTAGGCGTTCCTAGAACGTATTTCAATCGTAAAAACTGTGCGCAAAATATTAACAAAGAGCTGAATGAATTTTGTCTTGAAATATCAGACAAAATTAAAACTTTTTTTGAGAAAAAAATCTTTAATATGGTTTGGATATAACAAATAGATATTTTTTATTAAAAAAAACTTCTTTTATCTTATTTGTATTTGTAAAAAATAATTTATATTTTATTGTTTACGTATTACACGATTTAACTTCAAAGTATAGTTTACGCCATGTTAATGAGATTTCTTGTTACCTAATTGTTTAGTGCTAATCATCTTAAAGCCTGATTTATAGATTGCCTTCTTTCTTCCTCCCGCCTGATCGTAAAACATAAACAATACATAAGCCGTAGTTGCATTTATAGATAAACGCCGTCAATAAAATATAAATTATTTTTTACAAATAAGATAAAAGTTTGTAAATAAAAAATATCTATTTGTTATATCCAAACCATTTTAAGATTTTTTTCTCAAAAAAAGTTTTAATTTTGTCTGATATTTCCAAAGACCACCAAAACAAATGGACGGATTTGTTTACGTTTAAAAAGCGAGTAAAGCATAGTTTCACATTCTAAACACCGTCGAAAGAAACACGGCTTCCAACGTTGTCAGAAGTATAGATTACACTTTTTGGACGTTCATCATAACATAATGAACATTAATAATTACCAGAAATTCGTTTAAATAATAAAAAAATTGTAAAAAGGGTTTGTTTATCATTTTCTTTAGATATTTTTCTCTATTTAAAGAAAGTAAATCATTTAATAATTATTAAAATTAAATATTAACAACGTTGGTAAATTCGTCATATTTGACAGCATAGAAAAAGGTTATGTTCTGTGGGTTGACAGCTTGTGGTTTTGTGTTTTCGTTTGTGTATTTCTATCGTGTTTAAGTTAATTATGGAGTTTAAATACATTATTTTTTACTAAAAATAACAATACATGGAAATATCGTTTGTAAGTACCTACCTACTTACTATTTTTTTAATCCCAATACGTCACTGGAAGAAAACATAAAATTCTATCGCCAATTTAACGCTTAGACTGTGACCGTTTGATGACGTCACTGGAAGAAAACATAAAATTCTATCTCCAATTTGACGCTTAGACTGTGACCGTTTGTTGACCGCAAACAAATCATTGTTATTAAATGGCAATGCGCCGTTTATGTTTTGCGCACAGTTTTTACGATTGAAATACGTTCTAGGAACGTCTAAGAATAATTTCACATGCACAATAAGTCGTGCGCGACAGGCGCTCAGTTGTTATAAACAAAAAAATTTCGATAATAAAAAAAATAAAAAAAAAAATTTTCAAAATTTAAAAAATGAACAATATTTTCGTAAACAGTTTACGAAAATATTGTTCATTTTTTAAATTTTGAAAAAAAAAATGTTTTTTTAATTTTTTAAAACTATAGATTCACTAATATTCTATTAAAATTTTATGCAATTTTATTTAAATTTGTCGATTTTACACGACTTTGAAGATTTAATAAAAATTTTCTTTTTTTCGGCAAAAAAAACTAAAATCGACTTGAGCGACCTCTAATTTTTTTTTTATTTCGATTTTCCAAATCGCATTCTTCTTTTTATAGAGTAAACTCCCAAATGAGGGCATGTAATCAAAAATATAAGAGAAGTCACTTTTTTTGACCCTAATATACACTTACAGGCAAAATAATCGATCCTCACAAATTTTCGATGAATTTCAATCGCAAATAACTTTTTTATTTAATGTCGGATTTAAACGAATATTAAAGAATATTGTAGATAAATTATTGGAGAATCGCTAACATTTTAAAACATTACTAAAAAATAGACGTACGTGTTAATATACAGGTTTAAACAAAAATATGTTTTTTACCATAAGTTTAAGACACTCTGTAGAGTGGCAAAACCGTATATTGTTCTAAATTAAGTTTTAATTATCAAGTCACATCTATTTTTAACAGTTTTGTTTTTGGTTTACCTTGATATATTTATTTTTGTGAAAAATATGGATTTTAAAAAAAAACATTGCAATTTCCAATATTTTTTCTGTACAAAGAACTAAGATTTGCTATGGTCCATCCATAGGCTATGGAGGATGACAGTGACAGTTTTTTTGAATCATCCCATACTTGGACATATCATATACGGCTTTCAAAAGCTATCAAATAGTTTTTTTGCAAACTTTTAAAAGTAAGAAGACACCTCAAAATTAACACATTAATTTACAAAATACAATTTGATAGCCGTATATGACATGTATAGGATGATTCAACAAAACTGTTATTGTCACCCTCCATAGGCTATGGATGGACCATAGCAACCTTAGTTCTACAGAAAAAATATTGGAAATTGCAATGTTGTTTAAAAAAAAACATATTTTCCACAAAAATACATATATCAATGTGACTTGATAATTAAATCATAATTTAGAACAATATACAGTTTTGCCACTCTACAGAGTGTCTTAAACTTATGGTAAAAACATCTTTTTGTTTAAACCTGTATTTTATAAACGTTCGTTCATTTTTTAGTAATTTTTGAAATGTGAGCGATTCTCCATTAATTTATCTAAAATATTCTTTATTAGTTGTTTAAATCCGAACTCAAATAAAAAAGTTATTTGCGATTGAAATTCATCGAAAATTTGTGTGGATCGATTATTTTGCCTGTGAGTGTACTTACTACACATATACAGACCATTTGGGATCTAGGCTGTTTCCTTTTCGTGAGGTTAGCTACTTATGGGTGAATCTCACGAAATGTCCCCCGATGGTGTTACCCCGTGATTTTTAATAAAACTAAATGAGTTTGACCTACACTTTTATGGTGTTTTGATCTTTCATAATTAAGTAGATATTACAGCTCAGGTTCCAGATTTTTAAGCGCAATTAATTATTTTTTACAATGTTTTAAAAGTCTAAAACCTATCCTCCGTGACTGTTACTCTTTCTAGGTTAACCTATATGTTTTCAAATATCTGAGGTAGTAAAAGCATACTAAAAATATCAGTTTACTAAGTAAATTAAACAGATCCAAAGCAATCAAATCAAATATAAAATATTAAAAATTAAAAGAAACAATTTTTATAACCATTTATGTAGGTGTTACAAAAATTGATTCTATCCTCCGTGAATCTGTTTTTGCTTTAAATTTTATGCGACGGATGGCGCTTTAATCATTTTAAATAAGCAAAAACCTCGGTTTACGACATTATAGATGCATGTGATTCCTAAAGGTCAATTAGAATTTATATGCAGATGAGAGTGTTGCTGTTTTATAATTCAAAAGTGAAAGCATTAATTTGCTATTTAAAAACCTATCCCAGTAAGTAATTTTTTTATAAATATTTTATGTATGTACAATTGTATTTTTTAAAAATATACAATAACTTATTTCAAATCTACAAAGGGATGTTTAAAAAAACATACGAAATCCTAACCTCCGTGAAGCTATCTTTCGTGAAGCTATCTTTCGTGAAGCTCTAATATTCAAAATTTATGATTTCTTAAAATTCTTGTATTAGTGCAGAACCACTTATGTTATGTTATTACTTGACCTGGTGGCTTCCCAAAAACCCCATTCTAGACCAACAGTGATAAAACCAAAAATAAAAAATAATCATTTTCACTTGGGGGACATCTCAATATATTCACCCTTATGCAGTTTTGCACATGCGTGGGCTGTTTTTATAAAATATCTTATATCGCAAAATTTATAAACAAATAAATTATTTATGTTTTTAAGTATTAATTCCATGACAAACGATACTAAGGGTGAAAAAATAAATATGTTCTTTTCACATTAAATCTGATGAATTTTGAAAGAAAACATTCCAAATTATAATGTGCGACAAACAAAAACTAGAAGAAACGCGTAATTTTTAAGATAATTAGTCTTCAAAATCTGTACTCAAGTGAACTGGCTGAATGACCATTGTGCCTCTAACTATATGAAATACGAAAAGAAAAACTGTCAATCTGTCAACCGTTTTTGCCAGGTTGTGATTTGAGATTATTTATCGTAGGTGGATTGCGTCACAGTCCCGAAAAAATTGATAATTATCACGTTATAAGTGTGTTTTCTTCTTACTATGCCAATGTAACACCCGAAACGAAAAATCATGTAATTGTTTTATCATTATACCTTACAGATTGATTAGTGTAATAATATTTAGTAAAAGTAACGTTAAAATACTAACTAATATCTGAGCATGATACTAATTTGATATGTTTTTCTTGATTAAAAACAACAACTTTTTTCATATGTCGATATATGTTTGTGTGTTTTGCTTGAAGAGCGAAATTTCGGTATTTCTAGCTAAATGGCAACGGACCTACCAAAATACCGAATAATTAGATTTTCGTCAATAATTATGTTTCTACCGATTTTTGGCTCCCGAAGCTACGTAAGTTATGTTTAAGGAGAATTCGTTCTATTTATGTTTATTTGTTACTAACTTATTTTGTAGTACCTAAATACTAATAAAACACCGATTTTGTCCATATAAAGTGTTTAATTTTTGTACTTGTAACACCCGAAACAAAACCATGGTAACACCCGAAACAGAAATTAAAAAAAAAGAAAGTAAATAGCTACTGTATTAGGAGCGCAAAGTGATACATTGTCGCTGAGCGAGAAGTTTGACGCGCTATCTCGCTATCTCGCGAGAGCGGCAATGTCACTTTGAGCTCGAATTACACATAGGATTTTTTATAAGAATGTTTGTCATAAGACGTCATTTTGTCGCACGAGGACAATTTATAAAATTATAAAACGAGCGACGAAGGAGTGAGTTTTTTAATGGACGAGTGCGACAAAAGGTCTTATGGCATGAGTTTAACACGATTAATAATTATTAATCTGTATAAACAGCACAAACACAAAGCACAAGAATAGAAAACAACAAAAATGGCCGCCGTTAAACACCGTGCAGTGTTGCAGTGATTTTTAGTATTTTCAGTACAAGATAGAACAGACCTTGGTTGTGTTCCGTAATTTACTGTCAGTACTGAAAACGCATTCCGAAATCTACTTTCAGTTACTGAGCTCAGTGGTAAACACTACCGTTTTATAAATGTACGGCAGATTAATTTTACTGAAACAACTGGTGACAGAGAGGTGCTGTGGCTCCAGTAAAACACATAACCAAACTTTTAAACAAAAAATAGCTGTCAAATAAAGTGAAGGATAAAAATTATATCATATAATGGTATTTGGTGAATACCTATAGGGCTAATTATTTCAATATATATTGATAAAATATTACTTGAAAGTACAAGCAGCAGTGACGAAGGCAGGTCGCCGGGGAGTACGCATACGAAGACCTAGAATATGAAACTACCTACTAGGAAGTACCTAGAAAATGTTGTATATTTGTATTCAGCGGACGAATTTAAGAGTAATTTGTGGTATTTAGCGTATTGTGGTGGTATCAGTGAAATTTTATATTTCCTATTCCTATATATATTTTTCGACGCGGACGGCGATAACATTAAATTTTCCATATTTCTCTGCCATAAACCCAACATTATATTTCTTATAACTGTTATATTTATTTTTTATTTATGTTCACTGCTGTGCCGAAAGTAAAGTTTGTCAATTGTCAGTAAATCACAAATCATAACCTTGCGTAACCATTGTCACTTTCTGCTGCTACTGAGGCGCGTTCCAATTTTACTATTGCGTCAGTACTGAATAAATTACGGAACGGTCTTTTTTCGCTACTGACAGTAAAATTACTGATAGTAATGGCAGTAAATTACGGAACACAAACCTTGTTGTGTGGATTAAAAAAGAACGTTTTAAAAAAACATGTTTTTTTCTAATTATAAAAAAACGTTCATAATAATTAAAAAACCGTTTATAGTTTCAAGAAAAAAACATAACAAAACAATTTTTGACAAGGACAAGTGTCGCCAATTAGAGGGTCCTAAAGACACCATAGTAGCTGGAGATGAAAAAAATATTGCTGTTATTAAATAGCTCCTACTCAAAAATAGCAGTTAGCAACTCGTCACCCTAATATAACAAGGTTGTATGTTAAAAAACCGAAAATTTTGAGTTTATGCTTCTGCAAGGTTTTATGTAATCCACCCTTGACATAGAACTTGAAAATAACTCTATATATATGTATACATAGAATATACATTCTATAGAATTATTTTTAAGTGGTATGTGAAGCGTAGGCCACGTATAATCCTGTAGAAACATAGACTTAAATTTTTCGTTTTTTTTTACATACAACATTGTTAGGGTGATGAACTGTTGACTAATATCGAAAACAGCAGCTATTGGCGAAAACTGCTATTTTTACAAATCGCGCCATCTAAGTTTAATTATAAATGCTGCTATTTAAAAATAGCAATAACAGTTAGCAGCGTTAATTATATATCGCAGTTTAGCTTATCACTAATAGTAGCATTGTTTGTAGGTTGAACCAAAATACTTTTCGACAAGAAAAATGGGAGATTCCTATCAGTAATCGTCGTTCGACAACTTAGCTGCAGTTTTAGTTTTTAGTACTGTTAACCTTCGGAAAATACGAAATTTTGTGCTTAGGTTCCCAGAAAAACAATGTTTTCTTCCACGAGATAAATTTAAAACGCACGAGAAAGCAAACTACAGCGTCTTCTGCCGTCATCCGCCGTAACTATTTCCGGGGAATACCCTTTTCTTACGAATAAGTTTAATAAGTAACGGATCGCTTTGATATCGCAATTAAGGAAAACATGGTTTCTGAAAAATAAAACAAATTTCTAAAAAAAAAGTAAATCGCATTGTTTAAAAGTTTACATTACTAAGGGTCGTCAATGGTAGCGGGAAAAAGTAATAACGGAAACTCGTTGAAGTTACCATAGAAAAGCATTATAATTTTTTAGAAACTTGGGGGAAAACTTTTTCCGGAAAAGCATTTACTTATTACAATTAACATTTTGGAAGAAGCAAAACCATTTATAAAGAATGCATTTATCTCTAAAAATAAAAAATAAAAAAGTTTATCTTCTCATGAAGTCGAATTGGGGACATATGATAGAGAAAAAGCAAAAGCATCCACCTGCTACAAAGTGTTTAAAATCATTTTCAGTGTCCATGTACCATGTTGTTAATTAAATATAGTTAGTAAAATTTGTTTATTAAACCTACACAAGCGCTAGTAAATTTGATACTTTCCTGGCGACATTGGTTTCCAATATTTAAATCATCAGGCATATTATTAAGAACGATATTAAAAAATACACATGCTGACACAACATTTAATATATAGTATATGTATTACATACCATCAGTGCCACTGCTAATAGCTTCAGATTGCGCTTGTTCTCCAATTTCTTCTTCATTAATTTCCTGTCTTTCACTTTGGTTTGGCACTTCGCTGGAATCTTCAATCACTTCCACTTCATTCCCGGCTTCTTCCTCGTCCTCCTCGACGTCTTGGCAATCGGCTTCTTCATAGTTGTCTTGTTCCTTAAACAAAAATGAGTTTCATTAGCAGGGTTCGCCTGACTTAAATCATGGGATTTAAATTAACAATTTAAATAAATGATTTTTTTATTTTAATCAATGATTTAAATCAGTTTTAATAATATCTTGACACTATTTAAATAAATTCATATGCATAGAAAAATTGCTTATTTTTATAAAATAATAAAGGAATATACAAAAAAATATATGGCAGTTGCGGACGGAGGTTTATTTGTTTATAAAGTAGTGCCAATATAATATTATTTTAGTCAAGTTATTTTTGGTATTTTTTTTAATGAAAAAAGCTTATAATTTTGAATATTTTGGGTCATGAAAAGTGTTTTCCTTCCTTGGAAATTTTTAAAAAAGGTTAAAAAAGTGTGTGTAGTCTTGAAAATTTTAATATGGAAAATTAAAATTAAACTCTCCATTCAAACTTTACGATTTAGAATCATATTTTATTTTATCTATTTTGCGTTCATAATGACTTCATTATAACACCGCTTTCGGTGCTGTATTTAGTATTTTTTTTTAAGAAAAAAGCTTATAATTTTGGATATTTTAGGTCATGAAAAGTGTTTTCCTTCCTGGGAAATTTTTTAAAAAGGTTAAAAGGTGTGTGTAGTCTTGAAAATTTTAATATGGAAAATTAAAGACTTCATAAAGACTTCATTATAACACCGCTTTCGGTGCTGTAATGAGATACTTTATCCCACCCAAAATTTTGATTTTATAGGTTGGCTATACTTTAAACAGTATAATATTTTGCATATTGGTTATAATATTTTTATGATTTTTCTAGTACACCAAAAAAAATCCTTTTTTTCTTCTTTAACATTAACAGCCGCATATTGTAAATAAGTAAATTAAGGACGGCATGGCGAATCGATTTTGACATTAACTGTCAAACCAATGACTGTGATACCAACTATCTAAAGTAAAAATTTTACAACCAAGCGAAAAGTACAAATTTGCGCTACCAAAAGAAAGCGCAAGTCGCACTTTTCCGAGGAGCGAGCGTTTTATTACTTTTTTGCTCGCCGAGCGACAAAGTTACTTTGTCGCTCGCTTAGTTACCATGGAAACCATAATAAAGAAACGTTTAGTGTATTTGCGACTTTTGACATAAACGTTAAATTTGAGGTTATCAATAATTATTAATTTTTACCAAACATTCTTATAAAAAAAAAACGATTGTAGAAAAAATCCTGTGTGTAATTCGAGCGCAAAGTGACACTGCCGCTCTTGCGAGATCAAACTTCTCGCTCAAAGCGGCAATGTATCACTTTGCGCTCTTAATACTCAAATAGCTATTTATTTTATTATTATTCTTTTGTTTTTGTTTAATACCTTAAATATACCACATGATGTGGTCCAAATCACAATATTCAAAATCATAATAAAAATAAAAAAAATAGTTATTTATGTATCAAGGCAGTAAAGTCGTATTTTTTAACAAGAATGTGGAAATTATTTGCCGAGGCGAAAGCCGAGGCAAATAACCACGTGAGTGATAAAAAATTACTTTAATGCCGAGGTGCATATTAAATTTTATCCGAAATCACATTTAATAATACTAATAACACTGTGCAACATTTTCGGAAAAAAATTAAGAAAGTATTTTCGGTTTCTACAATTAAAATCATGAATTATAGCGTTTACAGAATGTTTAGATTGATTCTGGTTTTTTTAAATATCAATTTAATGTTTTAGTAATTCTGGATCCCGAAATATCGTAAAATAATAAATAATTTGTACATAAAAGATAATTATTGGTTTTGTATATTGTTTTATAAAGTAATAACAATGAAATAAAGAAAAAAATAATTAAATAAAAAAATAATGAGAATAAAATGCAATTTTTTAAAAAAATTGAACCTTACTCTGGATTTAATATGTTATAGTGCAAGTTCTTTCGCTTCTACCATAATAATAATAATTATTATTATTATATTAATTATTAAAAACATATTCTTTTTAACAAATAGAATGAATCAACATAAAAGATATAACAAATTTTATTTATAATTTTATGCCAAAATTTCCATTGCCATAGACCAGCAAAAATCTGCCAACATCCTCTTTCCTCTATAACGATTTTCCATTTCCATTATTGTTTGATGCTCTTCTGATTAGGTGGACAGCTGATTTTCGAACAGGGCAAGATGTGCATGGAGCAAATGTACTTTCAGTGACATGTTTACACCCATTTTTAATTTTTATTTTATTTTTTATTATTTCTTTTTAATTTATTGTTATGACAACAATTTCCTACCAGTTAATTGGTTTAAATTAATAAATAACGGTTTTTCGGGTTCCAAAATTAATAAAACTTAAAATCGATATTAAAAAAAAACCTGAATCAATCTAAACATTCTGTAAACGCAAAAAAACATTCTTTGGATAGGAGAAACGAAAACCACTTTCAGAACCCCACCATTTTTTTTTGTTTTGGTTTAAATTAATAAATAACGGTTTTTCGGGTTCCACAATTAATACAACTTAAAATCGTTATTAAAAAAACCTGAATCAAACTAAACATTCTGTAAACGCAAAAATGCATTCTTTGGATAGGAGAAACGAAAACCACTTTCAGAACCCCATCATTTTTTTGCTGTTGCACTGTGTAATTAATATTGATGATTAAATCAAAAGTGGTTTGATGATCAAATCAAATGTCATTTAAATGTAGGATGTGTCTATGTATACTGTTTGTTTGCGACGGTTATTATATATTTGCCCGCTGCGGCGATTTTTTAATCTAATTAATAAAATTAACTTATTATTTTTATTAAACAACATTTTATGAAAGGGTTCAATCGACCTCCGCGACGGTGCTTCTTTAAAATATTATTTAGTTGCTGCTGAGGAGCAATAGACACATCTTAAAATGTATATTGGGTTGCATACTTGTATTAACGCTGCAGTAAAGTTATACTTTACTGCCGATTTATTTTCCTTCACTGCCGATTGTTGACTACTTTACTGCCGATTTCGGATAAATGGTTTTTTGTTGTTTTTCTAAATTTTTTTAATAAAAATCATTGATTTTTTTTTAATCAGGATTTTTTCGAACCCTGTTCATTAGAATGCAAAACAATCAAAATGAAATATTCTCACCATCCCCTCCATGTCGTAACCCTCGGTATCGGGATCGTCCTGATCGTCGTCGGCGCCTTCGCCCTCATCGGCCGCACCCTCCTCGTCGCTCTCGACCACGATCACGTTGTCGTCGTCGTGATCCCTTTGACTGCTCGTAGGAACTTGGTATTCGACCTCTAGGCCGCTATCGCTGACCGTGCCGGCCTGCTGGACCCTCGTCCTCTTGCTCTGCTGCCCTTTCGACTGGTCGTCCGACTGACAGCTGCTGTCGGTGTCCGCGTCCCGCTGCCGTTTCAAACCGGCCTGAGTTGTGGTCACGGTGTTGGAACTGCTGCTGCTGCTTGTGCCTAGTTAAAAAGTATGGGGTAGTTAATATTTTAATGCGTCCAGTCATTTGGTGCTCAAAAAGGGCGTTTCTCGGGAGTACTTTTATACATTTCGACGAGCTCGTTTTGAATTTTCACTTACCACCTCGTTGATTTGGCATCCGAGAACAGTTTCTTGATGACTCATTTTACGATGAAAATGGTCATATGATATACCGTACCTTCATTTGCAAGCTATACATAGGGAAAATACATTGTAGGTGGAACAGACAAGTCGAAGTCGCGCCGGTCAGCGCGAAACGAAAATGTTCCCAGAAATTATTTTGACGAGTGGATGAGTAGACTAACATGCGACGTAACAGGTGACCTTGTTTACTGGCGATTAAAATTTTATTACCTCCTAATAATTTCTGAGAACTTTTTCGCTTTGCGCTGGTCCACCTACAATGTATTTTCCCTATGTATAGCTTGAAAATGAAGGTACGGTATGTATTAAACTAAAGGCAATTTCCTATAATTTATGTTATAACCTTTTATTGTACGAGTATTGGCGAAAAAAAGTTATTTCTACACCACCATGGTTGATATGCTAAAAATAATTGTCACTGTTGACGTTTTTAACTTTAAAATTAAAATGTTTTGGTCAAAAAAATCATACAGAAATTAAATAAGCAGTTATAAATATTCGTGAAATAGTCTTGCCGAATACCACTCGTGATAAAATTTTTCCTTAAATAATTTTTGATTTTTATTTACTCAAAATTTTATTGGTAAAATTTTACAACTAGTGGTATTATATACGAAAAAATCACTCGTTTATACGAGTTGCACAGCAAATAATTGTCAATGTTGACGTTTCTAATTTTAAAATAAAAATCAGGGTGATAAAAAAATTTAAAAATTTGCGTTTTGGTCAAAAAAATCATAAAAAAATTGAATCAGCACTTAAAAATTTTCGAGAAATAGTCTTGCCGAATACCACTTGTAATAAAAATTTCCCTGAAAAAATGTTTGATTTTTATTTACTCAAGATTTTTTTCTTGGAAATTTTGCTCATGGCATTAATTTAAAACCACTCGCCTGGCGGCTCGTGGTCTTAAAAATTAATGCCACAATTTCCAAGAAAAAAACATTTGTATAAAAATCAAAAATTTTATCGGTAAAATATACGAAAAAATCGTTCATTGAAATCATACTGAATTTACTAGTCAAGTTTAAAACAATTTTTGTGAAAAAGTTATTATTGTTATTTATGTTTCTAAAGAACAACATCAAAATTATATTACTGGTTAGTAGGTAGATATCTACTATTTGTATTCGAAATGTATATAAACTGCACAAGTTGATAATTCCGAAGCAGTAGAGTTCGGGTGGTCTCAAAATCTTACCTTGTTCTTGCGTGGGACCGCTGCTGGGCGGCTCCACCCTTGGCAACACCAAAGCAACAGCCTGTTGCTGGGGCGCGTTCTGCATCTGAACGTTTTCGTCGTCTTCAGCATCTTGAGAGGATTGAGTGGGAGGCACGGCCACTTGGCGTGGACCGCTGTGTACAGCCGCGCTGGCCGAACTTGTAGCCGGCACGTAATCGGTGTGCGAACTGGTCGGGCTGCTGGACAAGGCTTCGATAGTGTTGGAGCCTGTGGTATGAACCTAAAAAAATATTAATTAACAACAATATAGTCCAAATGATTTTTTAGCTTAGAAAAAGTTTGAATATTTTCTGTTATTAATATTAATATGTACAGACTGAAAAACAGGGTTGAGATTTTTGTCCACTTTTTTTTATTACGTCCATGACGTGGTCAAAATTGGACAAAAACGCCCAACATTAGACAAAATTAAAATTCTAATTTATTAATTTTGTTGCTTTTTTTATTACCTACTACTATTATACTATTAATAGTACTTATTTTATATAAGGGTAATTCTTTTACAAACCGAACACCTTTTGACCGACACATCTCAGATTTGGCTGAAACTTTTTTTACGAATTCTATGTCGAAAAATAAGAGATACGTGTCCGAGGAATTTTTTTTCTCTTGCATATTTTCGATAATACAAGCTATCGAAAATTTGAGAATAACGAGTTTTTTGGCTTGGAGACTCATTTTCAAAAATTTATAACTCTGGTTCTATTTGAGATACAAACTTCTTTTTTTTTCATTTTAAAGCTAAAGGACTGAATTTTGATAAAAAAAATATGTTTAATAAATATTATTAACAAATTCATATTGTTATTAACAATTTCATTGTTTAAATCAATTTTTAACAATGGCCCCCACCTCGTATTAAGTTTTTTGTATTTTTTTCATATTCTCCGTCAAATTTTACATAAAAAACATGTTTTCAAAATATGGTACCTTTATTAATACTATTGTTAAAACATTTATTCATATTGCGCGACACATAAAAAACGGTTTTTTGTTAATAAAAAGAAAACTATAGCTTGGATCAAAAAAAGTTAAATATAAAAGTTATAAATAATAAAAAGATCTACAATATTTATTTTAACTATTTTTCGACATAACCTCACTTTTCAAATAAATTGAAAAAAATGTTAAAAATCACATCTTTTAAAATATTTTTCTATAATTTATAATTAATATATGTTTTTTTTCATGGTATTGATTGCTAATAAATTTAAAAGAGGTGATTTTTAACATTTTTTTCAATTTATTTGAAAATTGAGGTTATGTCGAAAAATAGTTAAAACAAAAATTGTAGATCTATTTATTATCTACAACTTTTATATTAAACTTTTTTTGATCCGAGCTATAGTTTTCTTTTTATTAACAAAAAACCGTTTTTTTATGTCGCGCAATATGAATTAATGTTTTAACAATAGTAATAATAAAGGTACCATATTTTGAAAACATGTTTTTTATGTAAAATTTGACGGAGAATGCGATAAAAATACAAAAAACTTAATACGAGGTGGGGGCCATTGTTAAAAATTGATTTAAAAAATGAAATTGTTAATAACAATATGAATTTGTTAATAATTTTTATTAAAAATATTTTGTTATCAAAATTCAGTCCTTTAGCTTTAAAATGAAAAAAAAAAGATATTTTTAGCTCAAATAGAACCGGAGTTATAAATTTTTGAAAATGGGTCTCCAAGCCAAAAACCTTGTTTTTCTCAAATTTTTGATCACTTGTATTATCGAAAATATGCGAAAGAAAAAAAAATCCTCGGACACGTGTCTCTTATTTTTTGATGCAGAATCCGTAAATAAAGTTTCAGCCAAATCGGAGATGTGTCGGTCAATGTTTGTCAAAATCCGTACGGTTTGTAAAAGAATTACCCATAAGTCTTTTTTACCAATCTTTATGAAATTTTGTTTAAAAATACTTCAACTTATATCTCAGTTTACGTGTTCGAGGGTTTTTCGAGAAAATATTTTTAAAGCTCTTTTATTTAATAATTAAAAAAACCTTCGAAAAATAACTTTAAGGGAATTTTTGTTTAAGTAAATAAAAAATATGCGGTTAAAACCCGTATTTTCGTTAGTATACCCAGAAAATTTTGTACAAATCAAACTAACAGTAACGAAGATACAGCGCTTCAAAGTCGGTAAAAATGACCCTTTTTATTATTTTGCTGAAAAGTGCTCATTTTTTACGACTTTGAATCGCTGTATCTTCGTTGCTGTACAAAATTTTCAGGGTATACTAACAAAAATACGGTCTTGAACAGCATATTTTTTATTTACTTAAAAAAAATTCCCCAAGTTATTTTTCGAACGTTTTTTCATTATTAAATAAAAGGGCTTTAAAAATATTTTCTCGAACACGTAAACTGAGATATAAGTTAAAGTATTTTTATCCAAAATTTCATAAAGGCGATTAAATGTTAGATTTTTTTTACAGTGGTTGCAAAAATGATGGCCAACACTGCATGTAGTTTTCTGTATATAAAGGTCTTAATTTAGAACACAAAAAATACGTGTATTGTATTTTTCTTTTTCTATGATTTACAGAATCACACCAGGATGACCAAATTATAATGTTAAAAATTCCGTGTCCACCAATAAGTATATTTCTGCAGAATCATCATCTTGCTTTATTTTTAATATAAATTGGTGGACATGGAATTTAGGATTCTTTTGCATTTTTGATAGTGGAATATGTTTTTGTTTTGTTCTTCACTCTAAAAACACGTTGTATATAGAATATGTAATTAAAAAACAAACTTTTTAAATAATTTAGACTTAATTTCCTAAAATTTACCATGTAAAATATTTAGGGTTCTTGAAAATGGAGAGTTATTTTAAGGTGGTTCCATAGAATGTCTTTAAAATTTAATATCTGATTTTGTGAGGCATCAGACAGATTCACAAATAATTCCAGATTTTTTTACAGTACAGATTCCAAGATATTTTTTAAAGTTTCATTTGATTTTATACGCCATGTTTTTATTTTTTAGCTCATGAGATTTCCATAAAAATAAACTATATCAAGTTTTTTTAATTCTATTTTGTTTCTCAAGTTCGAAAACGAATTTTTTAAATAATCTATGAAAATCTGGGAAATAACAATTCTGCACAAACACTTAATTAATGGGCTAAAATTGTACACATCCAAAAACAGTTGATATGAAAAGAATTCAACAAAAAATGAACCCTTTTTTATTATTTTGCTGAAAAGTGGTCATTTTTTACGACTTTGAAGCGCTGTATTTTCGTTACTGTTCGTTTGATTTGTACAAAATTTTTAGGGTACACTAAAAAAAATACGGTCTTTCACAGCATATTTTTTATTTACTTAAAAATAAATTTCCCTATAAAAGTTCTTTTTCGAGCATTTTTTTTATTAAATAAAAGGGCTTTAAGGATATTTTATCGAAAAACCCTTGAACCCTTAAACTGAGATATAAGTTGAAGTATTTTTATACAAAATTTTATAAAGATTGGTAAAGGCGTATTAGAGTTGGATTTTTTTTACTTGTTATGCGTTAATTTTGACGCGCAGTGTATATATGTGTTTCATTTATTTTGTTGTAATACAAGAATCAAGTTATTAAAAAACAAAAATGTAGACAGGTTTCAATTTGCTTATCACTTATTACTTATTTTTATTTCTTATTATTATTATTATTATAATTATTAACTGTTGAAAACAGAGACAGAGCAGAGAAAATCTGCCTTTTGCTTGTGCTGTAGTCTTGGGTCTCTCTGTTTTTTAAACTTTATGTAGGTATCTTGTATGTTATGTAAATGTACATCTGAACTTTAAACTAGGTGGGGTTTTGTTTAAAAGTTAAATATATTTTATTTTATATTTTTAAATTATTTGCTAATTGTTAAATTTAAATAAGATAACAATGGCTAGTCAAGCAACGAAATGTTAAAGTTGTTTTTGACGCCCTAATATAATTATAATGTTTTTTTAATTTCATTTGTGTTTAAATGACTTTGTCCAATTCTTTCCAGAACAATTAATTTTGTCCGGACGGACATAATTGCACAAAATCGCGCAAAAATATGTCCACTTGGACAAATTCAACCAACCCTGCTGAAAAACTACAGGTGATGGCCAATTGTAAAAGAATATTATTTTATTTAAATATTATTATTATTATTATTTTTAGTATGTTTTACCTGTTGTTGTGGTGGCACCATAACAGCGCTAGGACTCTGGCTGGTCGGCAACACTGCGACGGTGCGTAGTTGGGCCGACATGGGCCTGATGCTGGCCAACGGAGGTTCGCCGCCGCTTCTCCACGGCTGTATTGGCACCGACTGCGTCTGGGTGTTGGTCGAGTGGCCTGAAAGATCGACTAAACGCTAATTCGTTCCCGCATAATTATCATTTTTCTCTCTTACCTGCCATGGGCTTGATGTTCGCGGTCGGAGGTTCGGTGGTCGATTTATCCGACGAGCTGGAGCTTGTGCTGGGTTTGGAACCTTGTTGAGATCCTAATTGGCGCTGCAGTTGGTTGACCCGCTGGGTTAGCGATTCGATATCGGTCAGCAATTTTTCCTTTTCTTGCTGTTGTTCTTCAGCCATATCATCCTTTTCTTTCTGTAGTTTGTTTACTTTTTCAATTAACTCGCTATTTCTACTAGACCCCTCGCCAGCATTATCACTTTCAGGCTTATCCCTATTAATTTCGTCTTTAAGAGTATTATTTTGTTCAGTCAAATGCACTATACGATCTTTAGCATTCTTAAACAAAGTTTTGAATCTTTCTTCCTTCTCAACGCCAAGCTGCTTAAGATTTTCATTCTCCTTCTTGACATTCTCCAGTTCCTCATTGGTAGTCTGTATTTGCTGATTGAGTTGTTCAACCGCTTCTCTGTGTTGCTGTTCTAGTTGACTCAAGCGACCTTCGTGGTCGGAACGTTGTTCCTGTATGAGCTGTTCTTGCTTCTCGGCGCCGTTCGAAATGGCTCCTTCCAACTCTGATTTTTCTTGTTTCAATTGCTCCATCTCCTTCATCTGTTCCTCGTACTGAATCTTGTACTTCTTGGCAATCTTTCTTATTTGAGCCAGATTGTTTTTCAAGTCGGTTATGACCGCTTCTTTGCTGGCTGTATCTTCGGTCAAGACACGAACCTCGTCGCTGACTTTCTTGTTGTTTTGTTGGCATTGGTCCAAGTTAGTTGTGACTTGTTGCATTTGTGTCTGTAATGACGATAAGTCCTCCTTGAGTTTGGATATTTCCTCAGACTGGGTATTGTTTTGAGCTCTCAGACTCTTCAGTTGGTCCTCCAATTTACTCTTGTCTTGACGCAGGTTGTTGATATCGTCGTTGAGTTTGGTCGTCGTTGAACGTTCAATGGTTAATTGTTTGGCAAGATTCTCTCTTTCCGATTGCAATTTCTTCCAATCTTCCGGACTGGTTCTGTTCGTCTTCTCTATAAGCATATTGGCACGCTGTCTCCATCTAGTCGCTTCGGTTCTCAGAGCAATATTCTCGTTTTGCATCTGGTCGGCTTTGGTGGTCAATTCTCGGCATTTGTCTTCCAATGGCGAGGAATTTGTTTCCAAGTCTTTATTTCTGGATCTGAGCTCCCCAACTTGAGCCAGCAATTCGTCGCGTTCCTGTCTTAGTGAACGATTGCTGTCCGTAATTGCGTTAAGAGTTTCGAGTTTACGCAAAACTTCAGCGTGTTTAGAAGCTGACACGACAGAAATTTCCGATTTCTGCCTTTCGCCCTCGACAGTATGCTTCATTTCCTCGTATTGTTTGTTGACAATATCGAACTGAGTCTTAAGGCGTTGATGTTCAGCCTCCATGATATCGGCTTTGCTTACGGCAATATCCTTTTCTTGACGCAAATATTTAATGATCTTTAACAATTGTTCTGATGATTTAATTTCGTCTTCGGTGAAAGATCTGTTGAACGAGGCATCGCCCATAGAAGCGTTGGCGTTTTCGGAACTTGATTGAGCTTGAAGAATGGTTAGTTGAGTATTTAAAGCATGAATTTGATCCAAAAGTAAATTATTTTGCGAATCGATATCTTTAAATCTGGAATCCATTTCCTCTTTTTCCTTCTGGAACAAAACTTCTTGCTTCTGCCAGCTCTCTTTGCTTTCTTTTAGAGCTTCAATGGCTTGGTCTTTACCAGAAGCTAGTTCATTGACTTTGCCCAACGCAGCATTTAACTCTTCCTTCATCACTGTTAACGATTGCAAGTCGGCAGAATGAAGCATGACCTCTCTGGCATATTTATTTTCCACTGCCTTTAATTGTTCGTTAATACTCTTATTTTCAGCTCTGGCGTGTTCCAATTGCTCTCTGGCGGTTTTTAAATCCATTGTTTTTGTGCTTAATTCTTCTTCTAACTGATGCGATTTGGATTTAACTCCTGCGTTAGCCATATCTTGGTCGTCCATTTGAATGGACAACTCGCCCTGCAACTCGCCCACTTTCTCTTGCAGTTCTTTTACCAAATGTTTTTGCTTTTCGAGTTCTTCTTTGAGTTGCTCATGCGTTGCCAACATATCTTTGGTCTGTTGCTCTGCAGCATCAGCAACGTTGAAGTACTGATCGGCAGCTTCCTTGGTGGTTTTTAGTTTGGTTTTCAACGATTCAATCTCAATTATGTAATCAGCGTTTTGCTGTTCCAGCAGGCGTATTTTTTTGCCTTCTTCTGAAGTTTCAGGGGCAGAGAACGCGGAAAGTTTGATTTTCATAGTGAGCTCCTCGATTTGGTTAGATTTCTTGATCAACTCTTCTCTAGTTTCGATGACCTCTTGTCGCAATTTGTCCGCTTGTTGTTTTTCTTCCTCCATTCTTGATACGGCGGTTTGGGCTTGTTTCTCCAAATGTTCGGACAATTGACGGAACCTATCCTGTTCTTCTTGCAATCTTCTACGTAGTGCGGCACATTCTCTGTGCGCTTCATCCAGCCTGGCTTCCAAACGAAGTTTTCCTTCGGCATCGGTTCTCTCCAATGTGGCTTTAATAAGTTCAATGTTGGACTGTATAAGGTTTTGTTGGTGCGTTTGGCGTTTAACCATTTCCTTGTCCTTGACCAAACGCGACTCGGCATCGCGAAGCAACGCATTTTCTTTCTGAAGATTTCCAAGCATTACTTCTGCTCGGGAAAGTTTTGATTGAGCCTGAATAGTTTCGTCCTTCAGGTAAGTCGCCGCTTGCTCATGTTTGATGATAGCTTCACTATATATTTTGTTTTGTTTTTCGAGCGCTGTTATTTGCTTTTTATAAATTTCGGTATTGTTCTGCATAATCTTGAATTTTTCCTCATTAACTTCGGTTTGAGAGGAAAGTTTGCAATTGAGCCTGGTTAATTCTTTTACTTCAGCTCGCATGTTGTCAAGTTGTTCCAACAACATCTTTTCGTTTGCGTTCTTCTCGTTTCTGTACGTTTCATTTTCTTTGTTTAAATGCTCGACTTGCTTCTTCAACGAATCAATCTTATTTTCCATTTCTTGCACCTTTTCGGAGGACTGAGATTCGGAGTCGGTCTGCGTTTTGCTGATTTCGCCGTTCTCTTGGATCCCGTACGTGCGTTCCAGTTGCATGGGGATGTCTTCGCCCGACGCCTTAACAGCCTGAGAGTACAAATTTTTGTACATATCGCGTTGGTTGCGCAACGTCACCATCATCTTGTTCTGTCTGTCGCGTTCCTCGAGCAGCTCGTTCTGAGATTCGCGCAGGTTATCCAACTTGGTTTTCAAATTTGATATATCGATGGGATCTATGGATTCAGCTTCTTCTTGGCGTTCGGTTAGCTCGCGAATGCACGCCAACAGCTTCTGGTTTTGGCTTTGCAATTCCGATATGTCGTTAAACGTGACCAATTTCTTCGAGATTATATCAGCGGAACTGATGCTGTCGCCCAAATCCATATCGTTGGAGAATGACGACGATCCAATGCGGGAATGCTCCACCTCTTGCAGCAAATGACAAACCTGTCGGCTCAAATCAGCGACTTCCTTTTTGAGTCTGGCATTCTCTCTGGCAGTTTTGCCCTCCAACTTGCGGCATTCGGCGTTCGCTTCTCTCAATTGCTGCAAATCGTTCAACAACTGATCGTTAGCCTGTTTTAGTTCGTCGTTCGCGTCCAAAGTTGTGCAGTAGTCTTGTCGGAGTTTTTTGATCAGCGGACCTTTCTCCTCGATCTCCTTGTAGATGCAGGCGATTAAGTTGTTAAGTCTCGCGCATTCTTCGTCCTTATTGGTTAGTTTATCGGATACCGTGACGTATTGTGAGTAAATTTCGGTCATCGTCATGCCTGATTTCATGTATCTTGATGCACTTGCAGCAGCCGGAGAAGAACCTAAATATAGGTTATAAAAATTTACGAATTGAAAATGTGGACAATAACAATAATTAATTTTATTTAGATTTGGGCGTCACTTTCATAAATGAATCCCAAGTGTGTGACAGATTTTAAATTTCGCGGGCAAATTACGAGGGAATTTGGCTTGAATCCTAACCTCAAAAGATTTAACGGACAAAATCATAGATATCATAGATATAACCATTCACAAAACATTCTGTTCTGTATGCTAGACTTTGTCTAGGAGCTTCTTAATTTAAATAAACTAACTATTAAGTGAACTGAAAAGTCAGTTTTTGTAGAAGGTAACCATAATCTTTTATTTCAAGATGAAATCTAGATGAAGACCATAGATTAGTATAAAGTAATGACAAAAGCAAAAAACAAGAATATAAAACATCAAAGTTAGTAGAGGAAACTGGCAGTGAAGATGACAAAAGATGAAGAAGATAGGTTTGAAAACGAAAAAGAAGAATTCATCTTTGAAAGTGATAAAGAAAATGATTTTAATTTTGAAAACAATTTTTTTGGAAAAATAGAAAGAAAGAAATAATGTTTTTATAGACAAATGGATAAAAACCTAAAAGAAAACACAATTTTTCTTAATGGGGAGAAGTTTATTACAACAAAAGTTTTGCCATCAAAATTATATTAAACCCTCATATTTTTTAGTTGTTTTGATCTCATAAGTTTTATTTATTTAACAATTGAAGGAATAAAGTGGATAACGGAGTGAATTAAAATTTTTAATAATAATTTCATATTATTATACGAGAGATAATGTAGGCTATTACTTCTCGATTCGCCAGACGATGATTCCGAGTGAATAATGCGCATAATCTGTGTAACACTATACTTATCTACTCCTATTGCATAATATTGTTTTTTTTTGTTTATAATAAATTATAAAATAACTGCCTAACAACGGAAATCATTATTCACGTAATGATTGGACACTTTCAATATTCAGTGTGATTTAAACCAATCAGGTTTTAAATTGGGGAAAAGTAGGAAAGGCGACAATAATATACAAGATTGGTAAAAAGTAAGGTTAACCAGATCCAATACAGAGGGGAACCTACGTACCTAACCACAATAAAAGTGTTAAAGAAACATAAAAATCGCTCATATACAGTGTAATTCAAGGAAAATACTGTGCGAAATTAATGCTAAGTTTTACTACCTGTGCAGGTGAATCAGTGTACCTGTTCTCCAAAGTCTTAATAGAAACATTATATAGTGCCTCAAAAAGCTCTCAACAAGTGAATACAGGGATAAAGTCCATACGGACACGAAAGTAATTAAGTGACACAGGACAGCATTCCCGGCGGACTAATCACAGGTCAAGGGTTCACCGATGTAAAGAAGAAACGAGTCTAACCTAGAGTGGAAGGGGCCATAATCTGCAAAATCTTATAAGTATTAGGTAACTGCATGACTTAATACGCAAATTTGCAACAAAATCCTGGCAATAATCAATCATTATTACCGAAAACAGCGTAACAGTGTTAATAAACCAATAATCAAGTAAGAACGTCACAAAATATAATAAAATACTGTGCGAAATTAGTGCTGTTTTACTACCTGTGCAGGTGAAATCAGTGTACCTGTTCTCCAGTCTTAATAGAAACATTAAATAGTTCCTCAAAAAACTCTCAACAAGTGAATACAGGGATAAAGTACAGACGGACACGGAAGTAACTAAGTGACATAGGACAGCATTCCTGGCGGACTAATCATAGATCAAGGATTCACCAATGTAAAGAAGAAACGAGTCTAACCAAGAGTGTAAGGGGCCATATTCTGAAAAATCTGATAAGTATTAAGTAATTGCATGACCTAATACGCAAATTAGCAACAAAAACCTGGCAATAATCAATCATTATTACCGAAAACAGCGTAACAGTGTAAATAAACCAATAATCAAGTAAGAACGTCACATATAATACAAGCATAAACAAGAGGCCAGCCCTATATATTTCAAGTGTTTAAAAGTTACCGAAACTAAAATAAACAACAGTCCTGCAATCCACTAGCCTAAATTGGGAGTATGGCCCGGCCCGGCGACAAAATTCCGGGAGTGGCCTAAGGCCTTAACCATCGACATTGTCATCCACGACCTCCTAAGAGGGACCTACCAGCCGGTAGGCGGATCCAAAAAACACAGGTTATGCTGTGCAGTTGCGGAATACGTAGAACTGAAAGGGGGTAAAATAACCCTGGGAGATCAGTGTAAGGCGATGTTGATGGGGCCTGCCATACATCCCCATACTCATACTCATACTCAAAAAGTAAGGTTAACCATTTGACAGATTTCAGATTTTATTTATTTATTTTTGAAAATCATTTAATTATCTACTTATTGGATCAAGATTTTGCGCATTATCTCTTGTATAATAATAAGCTATTATAGATTAAGATATTGTAAATAAAAATAAATTTGCTAAGTAGCAATACTGCAATTAGGTATAATATTTATTGTTTAAAGGTGTCATATTAAAAATAAATTTGGTTGTTTTGTCCTTTATAATTAAAAATGTTATTAATCCTGCATTATCCACTTGCCCCTTTACTTGTTAAATTTTTATACTTGGTTTTGTTTATTTATTTAAAGTTATCATAACTTACATATGTAAATTATTAAACCAAAATAAATAAGGTAAATTTTTGCCATGTGCATTTATTTCATATTAAATGTTATCAATTATGATTTTATCATCCAGGATGCTTCATCCCCAAACACAACAAATAATTGTAATTCCTGTCATTTTAGAATATACGAGTATTTTAGTTAAAATAAAAATAAGAAAATTAATGATTAAACTCTTACTTATTACTCTAAAAATTATCTTAATAAAAACTTTTATTGAAAAGTAATGTTTTGGAAATATTGAAATGCTTTATTTATTATTCTTTATTGCAGTAACAAAATTATAGATGCCAAGAAAAATATAAGAGGTTATTAGAAAATTGAATCAGTTGCAAAATCAAATTTATTTAAAAAAAATAAAAATCCTAAATAAACACAAATGATGATAATATGAAAATGTTTTTTATTGAACTTACCTTCCATGTCCCTGTGTATTTGGTCATGTTTGGTACTTTCAAGTAATTCATTAGCAGTTTCCAGTTCCTTTTTCAACATAGCAATACAGTCATTCTTCTTTACAATAATTTCTTCATGGGCAAGTTCAGATTCTTTGTGTTTAGTTTCCAGTTCTCCATATTGTTCTGTAGCATTCTTCAATAAATCTTGCACCTAAATTAATTAAATTATTTAGTTATTTATTATTTTTTGAAACAAAAACAAATGTTTACCTCAGCCAGAGCAGTTTTAAGTTCTTCAGCATGTTGTTGACTTTCCTCGTACATAGACTTGTAAGCGTTGGCCATCTTTGTTTTAGCTTCAATTTCATAGGTATAGGATTCATTCATTTTGCTTTCAATTTCCCGTTGACTCAATAATTTTTGGGATAACTCTTCATGTCTAGTGGCAAAATTATTATTCAAATCAGTGAGAGATTTAATTTGTTCAGTAGCCACAATCAATTCTTGTGTTTTTTCTGTTAACTTGGTCTCCAATTGAATGCATCTTGAAGTATTATCTCGTCTCATATTTAATAATTCCTCAGTTCTTTGATTTAAATCCTCAGTTAAACTTTCAATCTGCTCATTCATCATTGACCGTTCCTGTTCCATTCTCTTTTCCTTGTATTCAATGGTTATTTTCATTGAGTCAACCTCCTGTGATTTAGCCAAAGCCTCACACTTGGCATTGACTGCTGCCTCAAGTTGTTGGGTTAAGGTGGTAATTTCAGACTGCATTCTCTCCACTTCAGTGTTTCTTCGCTGGATCATTTTTAAATGCTCATCACGTTCATCAACTGCTAAGTTGCGTTGATGGCGAAACTCGGCCGTTTCAGCCTCAAGCTTATTGGATTGGACTTGTAGCTTTGAAACTTCTGAAGTCATGATGGAAATCTGATTTTCATACTCTTCAATGCTTTTGGCTGCAGCTTCAAGTCGCCCTTTAAGCTTTTCATTATCCAGTTTTGTGTTTTCATGTTGTTCTGTTAACTCTTTTACCGTTTGCTCTAAAGGATATAAAGCATTATGAGAATCTAAGAGGAACCACAACAAAATTTTTACATACCTGCGTTAAAACGATTGGTTTCCAGAAGGGCTTTAGATGTTATAAACTCCTCGAACTTTTCGTTCACGAAAGAATGGATTTTTTTCGCAATATCAGTGGGAACCGTTTGCCATTCATCGACGGTAACAACCGGTGCAAAAACGCATTCGCCCTCCATATTTTAAGTTTTTGGAAACACTACCTTTAATACTGTTTATACTAACATATCTAACTTCTTTTAATTTACACTTATAAAACGTTTATATCCATATATATTTTTAAATATTTGCTATTTTCACACACACGTCCTACACAGACAACAAACGAAAGAAAAACATGCCGGTTATTTTAATAACTGCAAGACCACATATAATTTGGGAGTACCAACATTAAGGTGAATAAGAAAATTTGCAAATCCTATTAAATGCCAAGTTTATTAAACTATTTTGGACATATAAAAAGTTTACAACATTTTAAACCCCATGCATACAAAATTGTATCTAAAGAATTTTTAAATTTTACGAAAATATAACTTTAACTTTGGTAACTTTTAAAGGTAAGTTGGTCACATGAAAAAATACCCGCTTTTTAAAATTACCTGCATTACCGACTGTCTTTCGCCATTTTTATTTAAATGTCGCTTGATTTTATTCAAAATTCAAAATGAATTAACGTACCTATAGGAAGTTTTTTTATTAAAAAGATGTCAGATAATGTGAATATAACGCTGAAAAATGTTGTGACTGTTACCGACGGAAATTCAAAAAATTGCGGTGTCGCCCAAGAAGTTGATGATATTAGAGAAGTTTTAAAAAGTGAACACAACAAGTATCTAAAATATAAAATAATAAACGACACAATTCAGGAACTGATTGGTGAAAATTCTAGTTTAGACAGTGAGCTAAAAGCTAAAGCTAAAGAGATATTATTGAATTCTCAATGTTCACAATCTGTAATTATAGATAAAAACAGTACAGACAAAGGCTGCCATACAGTATTTGGAATTGGTGATTCAAGTGTAGAATTAACATATTTTGAAAGAGACTCATTAAAAAACTCCTTGGAACGCAGATTAAGTGAAAAATGTATCCACTTGGATTTTAGTCTTTCAGAGAACAATTTAAATTCCAAAAAATGCCCTACATTTCAGCTTGTTGAAGACGACCAGATATTAATCGATCTTAAAGAAAAGTTAAAAAACGAACAAAAATTGTATATTGAAAACTTATTTAAGAAACATGAAATATTGAATGAAATAAAAAATTTAAGGCTAACTGAGCTTCCCAAAATTGTTGATGAAAAACATACAGAAAGTGTAAGTCTTTGTAAAATGAATGAAGTCAAATCAGAAATTCTCTTCAAGAAAGTTCGGGTGGATATTTTTTCAGAGAGTAATATATCCTTGGAAGCCTATAAACAATTTATTGCCGACCTGAAAAATCAACAGAAGGAATGCCAAATGGAAATTGATGATATACTGGATCTCAAAGAAAAATACAAGATTGTTGCTTGCAAGCAGTATAATGACATTTTAAAATCATATTTGCAATACAGGGCATCAAACGAGAAGAAAAAAATGTTATATGACTGCATGATTTGATGTAAATACTTTATCAGTTGTGTTTTGTATATTAGAATTATTTTTAATTTAAGCTTAACTAAAAGTATTGTCTAAAAGAATTTATTCATATACCTATTTAAAAAATAAATATTTATCTATGCAATATGGTGTCTTTATTTTGTGGAATTCAATCAAGTATTTAATTTTCAGTTTTATTCTTACATAATACAAATTATATACATTATTTCACGATAAATAACAGATTTTTCTAGTTTTGGTTGTTGGGTCAAAGAAACAAAACATCTCGTAATAATTTAATTTAAAAATTAGCCTAACCAACAATTAGTAGATCTTCCTCGGGGAAGACGTAGGCTGGCACCTCTAAGTTAAGTGGGGCGGGTCCCTTGCGGATACGTCCGGAGGCGTCGTAGTGGGAACCGTGGCATGGGCAATAGTAACCACCAAAGTCGCCAGCGTTGGCGATTGGTACACAACCCAAGTGGGTGCACACACCTAGTACTACCAACCATTCAGGGTTCTGGACTCTTTCGTTATCGTGTTGGGGGTCGCGGAGACTGGCGACAGCAACGGCTTGTTCGGCTGCGATCTCACTGGCAGTTCTGTGTCTAATGAACAAGGGTTTACCTGAAAGTTAAAAGGAAATGATAAAATCTTTTTTATTATAATAACATAGGTAATTATTTCATATAAAAAGCATTTTGATTTTCGTTCAATTATTAACTTAAAATTAAAAGGAAATGATAAAATCTTTTTTATTATAACAACATAGGTAATTATTTCATATAAAAAGCATTTTGATTTTCGTTCAATTATTATAACTTAGGTATACACTCACAGGCAAAATAATCGATCCACACAAATTTTCGATGCATTTCTATCGCAAATAACTTTTTTATTTAATGTCGGATTTAAACGAATATTAAAGAATATTGTAGATAAATTAATGGACAATCGCTCACATTTTGAAAAATTACTAAAAAATAGACGTACATTTATAATATACAGGTTTAAACACTCTGTAGAGTGGCAAAACCGTATATTGTTCTAAATTAAGTTTTATTTATCAAGTCACATCTATTCTTAACAGTTTTGTTTTTGGTTCGCCTCGATATATTTATTTTTGTGGAAAATATGATTTTTTTTAAAAAACATTGCAATTTCCAATATTTTTCTGTATGAAGAACTAAGGTTGCTATGGTCCATCCATAGGCTATGGAGAATGACAGTGACAGTTTTGTTGAATCATCCCATACTTGGACATGTCATACACGGCTTTCAAAAGCTATCAAATTGTTTTTGCAAATTAATGTTTAAATTTTGAGGTGTCTTCTTACTTTAAAAAATGGATATGTCTCCGACTGATGTTGCCAGAGCCATTAATTTAATCCAAGATGGACGGTCACAGTATTACGTGGCAAGTGTTTTAAACGTCACAAGAAGTAAAGTACAAAGGGCAACATCAGTCGAAGACATTTTTTAAAGTAAGAAGACACCTCAAAATTAACACATTAATTTACAAAAAACAATTTGATAGCTTTTGAAAGCTGTATATGACATGTCCAAGTATGGAATGATTCAACAAAACTGTCACTGTCATCCTCCATAGGCTATGGATGGACCATACAGGAAAAATATTGGAAATTGCAATGTTTTTTTAAAAAATCCATATTTTCCACAAAAATAAATATATCATATAAAACAAAACTGTTAAAAATAGATGTGACTTGATAATTAAAACTTAATTTAGAACAATATACGGTTTTGCCACTCTACAGAGTGTCTGTAACTTATGGTAAAAAACATATTTTTGTTTAAACCTGTATATTACAAACGTACGTGTATTTTTTAGTAATTTTAAAATGTCAGCGATTCTCCATTAATGTATATACACTATTCTTTATTATTTGTTTAAATCCGATATCAAATAAAAAAGTTATTTGCGATTGAAATTCATCGAAAATTTGTGTGGATCGATTATTTTGCCTGTGAGTGTATATACATATATTATGATGAAAAACTGAGGGGAAAAAACTTTTTTGGTTTTCATAAATAAGAACACGTGCCGACGGCCAATTGAAGTTAATTTTTCGATAAAATTGTAGTTTTTTAAAAATTACTCTTACAGAATTTGGTTTGAGAAAAATTTGTGAGGACAATTTTGTGTACTTGCAAAAAAGGTTTTTATAAATTTTTCCATAAAGTTCATATTTATCAAGATATTCTCATTAGTAAACTTACAAACTCTATCTAGTCAGTCATTTTTGGACTAAAACTTCTATTTTTCCTGATATATGAACAATTATCTCAAAATATCTTGAATTTTAGATATTTTATTGATATTGTGACATGAGTAAATGATTTTCAATTTGATGATTTTTAGTGCTAAAATGGTTGTAACCAATTAATTGGTTAATTTATCTTAATACATTAATTTTCCTAATATTTTGGTTTTCTTTCACCTCCTGTATAAGATTACTTTTAAATAGTTTATTTATTAATCCAGTTAGATTAAATTAAATATTACTATTTAAAATACAATTTTTTTTCGACCTTAATAAAATATAAGTACTACAAAACTAAATAGGAGATGCTCCAATCAATCCTCCCTGAACCTGAATACACTTTTCTAATAGTCTTTTACAATATTTCAAAATATTTTTTGTTTGTTGTTCTGTGATTAACCTACACCCTTGCCGTATTAACACAAATTAACCTTCAAATTGACATTTGACAGCGCTGATAGAATAAGGTTTATTTTTTACAAAATGAGGATTAAAATGATTGTTCTTACCACTTTGAGGTCTCTTTTAAGGCTTGCAAGTCTCTGTAAGAAACTCAACGTTTAAAGGCCAATTCTCACATAGCGACGCGACGCTACGCTACGCGACGCAACACTTTAAAATGTAGCTGACCAACGCAATTTTGTCGCTCCAGGAAGCGACAAAATATTGTCGAGTCGCGTTGATCAGCTACGTTTTAAAGTGTCGCGTCGCGTAGCGTAGCGTCGCGTCGCTATGTGAGAATTGGCCTTAAAACGATTATTAATCTGTACAAACCCAAAGCACCACAATTGTAAACAAAAATGGCTGCCCTTAAATAATGTGCAGTGTTGCAGTATAGTATAGTATAGTATAGTATAGTATAGTATAGTATTTTTAGTACGAGATCGAACAGACCTTGTTGTGTGGATTGTGGCCGCCTGTATAAATAAATAAATATTAATTCAAGTAACCATGGTTACAGTGACTTAAGTCCTAAATTTAGGAAGGTATACGTACCTTTAAGTAAACTAATTGATTTTTTTAACAGTCAGATTAATATACTAAGCTTAAAAAAAGTTATGTAATCTTAAATAAGCGCATATACCTACAGCATGCGCCGTCTACTAGTAAATTCAAAACTTTATACAAATCCTTTCCTCTAAAAAACCCTATAACGCTAATTTTGTTACACTGTGTAGTTTTGTTAAAAAATTATTTAAGAAAATCCTAAACAAAATTAAAACTTTGAAAAACTGTATCTTGGTTATTATTAACTTTTGTGTGAGGCAAGTTTGAATAAATAAACATAAACATTATGAGGTTCATAACTGACGCATATTGCAGTCACAACGTGATTGTAATCCGCACGTATGCACGCATGTATGTCACATATATGATATATCCATCATTGAGGTTCATATAAGTCGTTTTTTCGCGTAAATACTATGTAATACTACGGTTAAATAAGTCATGACGTCACAGTTAATTCATATAACCATGGTTAGGTTTCTAACATTTGACATTTGTTTACTTGTTCATAACCTATAATTTTTTAAATGTGTTTTTACCTATTTATATTTAATTTCTATGCTTTTACCGGTGTAAATAAATTTCTTTGCCTCTTTTTATACCTAGTATATTCTTTTTCTATAGGTACTAGTTTTTTTAATACACGTTATCCAATTCTCCTACATGTTTAATACAAAATAAGGAAGAATATAAAAAAAAACCTGCATATAATTCCTCCACTTGTGGAGATTCACAATATGGAGCACCCTATCATTTATTTTTACTGACAACACCCCGTTTACCATTTTAATACAAAGTTTAAATTCGGTTTAAGAGCAATTGTACCTACTTAAAATATTTTAAATTTCAAATGTAAACAACTTCTTGACAGATCGAAACAGAGAAAAATATATATTAAAAAGAGAAAGACTATTAACCACGTTGAATAACTAGCTCAGCGATATAGTTTTATGGTCTGGTATTTGTGACGTCATAGTTAGGATTTTTGAACGCACTCTAAACGCAAAAATGCCTTAACTATTAACCACGGTTAAGTTTAATAACCATAGTATTTCATGGTATTTACGCGAAAAAACGACTATAGCCAGCACATGTGATGGTTGGAGAAACATTGCGAGGTTCATGATTTACACATATTGCAGTCACAACGTGATTCTTAATCCGCACTTATGTCACATATATGCATTGCATTGCGTCATCAATTGGGGTTCATATAGCCAGCACATGTGATGGTTGAAGAAATTTTTCTGGTGAATTTTGGACTTGCATTGCCTTAATTTAATTGTTTTTCTTACGTTTTGATTAGTAATTATCTTTAATTGTCTTCAGTTATTACCTGAAGACCATTAGAGATAATTACTAATCGAAACGTAAGAAAAACAATCAAATTAAGACAAAATTGGATTATTACTTATAATATAATGACCAAAATTTCGCAATAAATCAATTTTATGAATGATTATCATGTCAGTTTTGGACTTGGCATGTCTCAATTTGATTGTTTTTCTTACAACGTTTCGATTAGTAATTATCTCAAATGGTCTTCAGGTAAAAACTGAAGACAATTAAAGATAATTATGGATTATCCAAAAGATCTTTTTCTTTAAGTCATTTATTTTAGTTTTTGTGACAATTGTCTACATTTATAGAACTCGTTGATCTTAAGATCAATTCCAATTTGGAATTCCAAATAAAATTATGTATATTTATACAAATGTAGTCTACAAATTTAGTCTTTACAAACAGGGCCGGGCCTAAGGGGGGTGTAGGGGGGGGAGTCACCCCCCCCAAAGTCTAGGCAGTTGGTTCCAAATCCAAACACGGTTGAAAAAATCTATAGTATTTGGGTCGGTTAGTTGGGTATACCTACACTACCAACCAACCCATCACAATAAATAAAATAAAATATAATTTTTAAACTAAACATATTTCAAAACTACTATAATCGTTAGTCAAGAAAATTGTATTGGTCAACCCTGTTTTTTAAGGACATTATATTTCAAACAAAGCGTACAAAGTCGGCACCGCCTCGCGGCTTTGTCTTTGGCTTTGGCGGCGTTTGATTCTTTTTACGCACCGCAATTTTCGGCGTCTTATTTTTCTAGATTATTATTATATTATTTTTCTTGAAGCTTATCTAAGCTAAGTAAAACTAGTGTCAATAAATAGGAATTAATTTGTTTTTTTAATATGGAAAAGAAAGCTAGACCGGGCCGAGTTCTAGTAAAATGCTCATTATTTATTATTTATTTATTAAATTGAAACTACAAATCAACTTGTAATAGCTGTAGCTGTATATGGATCTGTGTTTAACAAGGACTATAAAAAAATGCATGAGAAAAATATTCACGGTGAAAATTTGGTTAAAATTAAACGTGTTGCTATTCTGCTATTCCGGAAAATCCATTTACATTGGCAGCAAGTCAAAAAAAGAGAAAGAGAATCAATCCCATCGACTTCGAAAGAGCAAGCTAATGGTAGGTAAAGACATTCTGTATCTACGCTTTACAGCACTTTACCTACATGATAAATATACTGAAAATTTTTACTATTACTACTAAAGTATCGATACAACTTTTTAAAAATATTTCTACAAATATCAACATCGACAGTAGTACTAAAGGAAAAGCATATGGCCTTTTTAAACGCATTTTAAAATTTGATTTTATTTGTGTTTATTTTTTATAAAGATGAAGGTTGTTTCCGAAATTTTAGAATCCAACAATTTAAATGTTATTGATGCATTTTCAATTAATTATAGTACCAAAAATACCCTGCAAACTATAAGATCAAGTCCCGATGAAGTAAATAACCTAATTGAAGCCTCCAAAAAATTTTCTGCATCATTACATGTCAACGCAGACGAAGATTTAGAAGGCATCATCGACGGAAAGTTATTCCAAAAAGGTTGGACCAACAAAATGAAAATGCCGCGCTTATGGATACAAACGAATTTAATCGTCACGAATTCTTTCAAGTTTTAGATGTTCTAATCAGTTTTTTGTAAAAAAATTTATCTGAAGTCCTAAAAATTATACAACCTTTAAAAGACATATTTTCTTTCCCATTGTCCAAAACAGCTATTATGGACATTAAAAATATTGAAGCGGCGGTGTTATTATATCATTCCAATAAACCCGATCCAGGTAGTTTACAGGGCGAACTAGAGGTATTTTTTGATATTTGTATAGAGAAAAAGGCGGCTTCTATGGAATAGGTGATGAAAATTGCGATTGAACAAAAATATGTTTTAAAAGATAGTTTTCTTTTTTGCCAACTTATCTACACCGCCGCATATTCCGTTGCAACAAACGAGCGTAAATTTAGCACTTTAAATTATTTAAAAAACACGTTACGTTACGTTAGGCGATCGATCGTTAATGAGCCTGAAAAGCGAGCGCGATATAACAGATACCCAACATAGAATTATCAACTGCGATCGACTCTTGGGATAAAACTTAATTAAAAAATAGGATACTGAGGGTTGAAAGGAAGTGAGTACATTCTCAGAGTACTAATTTGTAATAAAGAGTCCTTCAATAGTTATTATATGTTTTCGTTTATATATTTTTTTAAAGTAAAATGATTTCGTTCCTATTTTTTAAGTATATTTTTTGAATTTTTTTTATGTTTAACGTAGTACTACTTAGCTTAAATTTGTATTTTGTTTTAATTTTTTAGATTTACCTACCTAGTAGGTTGCATTTTTTATATTTATACCATATACTTTTTTTACTTAATATATATAAAAAAATAAGTTGTTTTTTTATCGCGTCCACCCCCCCCCCCAAAAAGTGTGCCTCGGTACGGCCCTGTTTACAAATACAGTCTTTTCACAAATTAACCATATGGTATAAGTCAATTTTTTAAAAATTTAAATTATAATATGAAGTAAAATCAACAATTTTCGCAAGATGTAGTGTAGATCTAGTATTACATCTACAATTTTACGATAAAAAAGTTTATGGTTCCCAAATAAAAAGAACAATTAAATATGGGACAGAAACATTGTTTATTTATCCTAAATATATTTTTATTCCTGACACATAAAGTTTTACTTGGTTTTACTAAAGTAAATTTATCGTTATTATTTCGACTATTTAGAGGTAATAAACAATATATTCACTATTAATAAAAAGTATTAGCTACACAGTTTATTTGTCTCATTTTTACTCAGTGTACTTATTCAGCATAAGTGAAAAGTTTGCAATCATTTCGTGCCCTCATATACCAATCACGTGCGTGTATTCCCATTAATCCTAAAATGAATATCATGCGTTTTTACCGTCACGCATGATTCCGCACGACGTGAAGGCGATGTGCGTTTTGATGCCCCTCAGGGTGCATTTATAAATATATTTTTTTATGGTAAGGCATATTTTTAAAAATTTATTTATGTATATGTTTATTTTAAGAAATAATAATAATAAATGACATTAATTAAATTTACTATAAATTATAAAAATGATATATTTTAAATCCAACCATTTTTGTTATTTAAAAAAACGTGTTTGTATACATACCTATATTGTCTTTAAGAAAGAAAAACTAATAGGTATGGAAAAAACCATAATTCACAATGTGGATTGTGGTAAAATCCATATCAAAAGATGTTTATATAACATTTTAGGTGTAATTTTTTGCTATTAATAAACTTTAAAACAAAAATAGGTATGGTATTCACACAAAAAATTATTTAAAAATTATGGCAATTGTATGGTAGATATTTTCTAATACCTAATCATTTGAATATATAAATAATGTTATTTAGATACATAAACTTAAACTTAATTTAAAAATACATGGTATATAAAATAAATCTTACCTCTCCATTTAAAAGTAACAGATTTGCCTTCAGGAATAGATGACAACTTAATTTCAATCTTAGCCAAAGCCAATACATCAGCAGAAGCACTCATTGTGCTAATAAACTGGGTTACAACTGATTTAGCACCATAGGCTCCTCCAACGGACAACCCTCCAGCCATCAAATAAGTGAAATTCTTTCTGCTTTCCTCGGTATCGCTGGATTTAGCAGTTGGAGACTTTACAGTGTCTCTACGATAGTTGGACCAATCGGGGACATTGATGTCAGTGTGTGCCCACCTGATTTGGGTACTTACAGTGGGTCCAGTAGTTACTGACATGTTTCCATTGGGAAGGGTTTTGCTTAGGGCAATCGCAGAGGAGCCCAAGTGAGGAATTTTACATACTGGTTTTTTGGCGATCACGGCGGCCTGGGTGTTGGTTGACAATTGATTGCTAACCACCTGACTTACTGCCTTCAGGTAGTTTGGAACAGTTGCTGGTTTAATCATTGTTGGAAATTTATTTGCTGCTTTGCTGTTATGCAACAAAATTAATCGAAATCTCGAACCACAAAAATGTAACCAACAGAAACGATATGGTGACCCTAAAACAGTGTTGCCAAAACGAAAATGCAAAATGTTATTTGTTTAAAAATCGATTGCCTCAGATTTAAACAATAGTTTTATAATTTTTATTATTAAAATATAACATCTAACAAATATTAATTTAAAAAAACTTGTATTTGTGTCTATCTGAGGAATCGTATCTGGAACAACACTTTTTTCAGAACGTGGCATTTGACATTTCACTTGACGTTTGTCAAAAGAGCGGCGTATTTAGGTTAGAAAGTTATTTCCAATTTGGTGTTCTGTGGTTATTTATAAAATTATGGTTCACCCCGAGGAAGAAATCCTACAATCCTTTATGGATTTGGGTTTAAGTGAGCAAAAAGGAAAAGAAACTCTAAAAAATGGACCTGTAACCAAAAATTTGCTAAATATTATTCAACAGGTAATTTTTTATTTAAATAAATATACTTTAGAATGCCAATTTCTTATATGAATTTAGGTACAAAATTTTAAACTGCCTCAGGGTGCTGGTATTCTTTTATACCATTTAGCAACTAAAATTAAGCCTCAAATCTTGCATCATCTACCACTAATCGTTGACTACATAAAATCCAATAAGCTGGATTCTATTGTTCGAGTCGATAAAGCCATAGAATTTGCTTTAAATAATTTAACAGAAATTAAAACTGTTGATTTTGATAAATACTGTGGAGTTGGAATTGTTGTCACCCCAGAAGAAATTGAAGAATGTGTTGAAAAACATATTGCAGAACATAAAAATGAACTTGTTGAAATGCGGTATAGGTACAATACTGGACCACTTATGCAAAAAGTCAGAACAGCTTTACCCTGGGCAGATGGCAAAGCAGTCAAAAATGAAGTTGATGTTCAGGTAAATATAAAAAATAAAATTATCAAACAAAAAAATATTTTTTTGTAAAGGTTTTAGATCTTTTGGGGCCAAAAACTGAAAAGGACTTGGTGAAAAGCGATAAGAAATCTGCTAGACCAACTAGAGTTGAAAGGCCCAAAATTGTATTGAAGAAATCCAATGAAGAAGGTAACAGGGAAATTTGTATTGGTTTTAATTTAATATAAGTACCTACATTTTATACTATATACTATACTCAGTGATGCATTTTTGAGACACCCTGTATATAAACTGCAATGCACTGCAGAACAGGGGTTATCTTATGATAAATTTAAAGTTTAAAGCAATTATAATAAGTGAAAGTAGGTATATTTAAAATATAAAATCAAATTTGATGGAATAGGTTAAAGGTGAACAAAGATTGGATTTTACCAATAATTGCTATCTACTTTTTAGCAAACATTATTTGGAAATACCTGTAATATAAATCTTTAAAAATTAAATTTTTGACACATATTAAGCGAAATTTAATTTATATTTATTAAATATACAGGGTGCTCCAAAACGCGCGCAATACCTTAAAGGTTTCTGATCTACAGAGATGTAAGATGAAAGAAAATATGCGGTTTTTTTATGTTCTTTTTTTTCAAACTTTATTATTAATCCAATCAAGCATATTTTTGACCCTTTGTCGTCTTTTTTTCTCAAAAATATAACAAATTTAATTTAGCAATAAAATATAATTTCAAAAATGATGTCCGTATGAACAAAATTTGTGAAAATCACGACGTGACGTTCGTATGATTTTCATTTATTACGCGGTGACATCCGGATGATGTCCGTATGAATAAAATTTGTGAAAATCACGACGTGACGTTCGTATGATTTTTATTTATCACGCGGTGACTTCTGTATGATATCAGCTGATACTAGTATGAATAAAATTTGTGAATATCACGAATGTTGTCCGGGATGTTATTTGTTATATTCTAATTCTATGGTTATTTGGTTTAAAAGTTATGCAAAAATTATTTGTTAAAAATAGTTCAAATTTAACAATTTTTAAAAATTGAATTTAAATGCAATACGACAAAATATTAACTTTATAGAATAACCTTGGTGGATAAACAGGCAACCTGTATTTTAGTATTTTAATAATTAGGTCAGGGTCCACCCTAAATTATGTATGTATCGACAATATGGTTCTTTGCAAATTCGCACATGCGTAAAAACTTATTTTGGTTCATGTGTAGTTATCTTTTGTTAACGGAATTATATACAGGATATCCTGTATATAAAAAGGTATATACTATATGGAATTAGATATTTTTAAACCAAAATTAATTAAATATTTTCTGTTTTACTACCAAGATACCAGATACAGCCATTTTTCTTACCTAATCCTTTTTTATTTGCTTATCTTATGTTTGTCTATCCTATATATAGGATTAGGTAAGAAAAATGGCTGTATCTGGTATACCAGATATATCTTGGTAGTAAAACAGAAAATATTTAATTAATTTTGGTTTAAAAATATCTAATTCCATATAGTATACACCTACTTAATTTAAAAAATATGTATATAATGTGGGTTTAAAAGTACTATGATAAACTAATTTAAAAATTACCTAAGGGTAATAATAAACTTGTTTCTCATTGTAAAGGGGGGCCATTAAAATCGTTTGCGGGGGGGGCCCACTCAGAATTTGTTACGCCACTGATTTTAAGTAAATTGATATGTAACGTTTTAGTCACTAAATAATCTCAAAACAATAAAATAACAAAAATAAAATTCAATTTTAAACCTTTATAACTAAAAATTTCTTGTAATTTTTGGGTTTAAAAACTCAACAACACTGTATGGCATAATACAATTTATTTAATGATTCACATCTAATAGCAGTTGTTATAGAAATAATCAATCAAATTAAGGAGACACAAAAACTTTATTTATGTTTTATGCTTAAAAACCTTTATAACTCAAAAACTTGTTTTCATGGCATTTTATAAGACACCCTGTATACTCACTTTTTTATTATCTATTGAAGTATGAAATATGTTTTAGATGTTACCAACAACTCCTTAACCATTCTGGATGTAATGAAGAAAGTAAACTTTCATAAGCCTGGTGAAAATTTTAAAACAGATGGGTATATTGTCACAGAAAATACTCAACAATTGATTCAAGAACATCTAAAATTAACTGGAGGAAAGGTTAATAATACTACCTTGGTAAAAACTAAAAAAATGATGAAATACTTTGTTATTTTAGGTAAGAACAAGATTCCCTCCAGAACCCAATGGCATTCTGCACATTGGACATGCTAAAGCAATCAATATAAACTTTGGATATGCAGCAGCTAATGATGGCATTTGTTTCTTGAGATATGATGATACTAATCCGGAAAAGGAAGAAGAGAAGTTCTTTACAGGAATAAAGGACATTGTTTCATGGCTTGGTAAGAAATACTTATATAATAAATATAGATTGTCTAAAAATTATATAAAGACATCAAAAATAAAGAATAGCCCACTTTCTATTAAAAAAAATAAGAGACATTTTGCCTAAAATTCGGTCTCTAGTTTAAAAAAAAATTTTAGGGTATAAACCACACAAAATAACCCATTCATCTGACAACTTTGAACAGCTTTATAAATGGGCAGTTGAACTCATAAAAAATGGTGCTGCCTATGTCTGTCATCAAACTGCTGATGAAATGAAAGGATTCAATCCTCAACCTTCACCGTGGAGAGAACGTCCAATTGAAGAAAGTCTTCAATTATTTGAAGTAAATAAAATTATTTATAGTTAATCTTAGTAACAATCCCTTTTCCACTTGTCATGTTGCCATACAAATTTTAAATTATCTCGAAATTATATTACTTAGGACATGAAAAACGGTAAAATCGATGAAGGTGCAGCAACTCTGAGAATGAAGATCACCCTGGAGGAGGGCAAACTGGACCCTGTGGCATACCGTGTGCGTTTTACGCCCCATCATCGCACAGGGGACAAGTGGTGCATCTATCCTACCTATGATTACACTCACTGTTTGTGCGATAGTATCGAGAACATCACTCATTCTTTGTGTACCAAAGAATTCCAGTCCAGGTAAGAAACTAAAGTGATTATTCTTAACTGTTTTATTATTTTTTGGAGCTTTGTTGTATTAATTAGTAAAGAATTTTAAAATGAAAATGAGAGATTTAACCAAATTAGTTCTGAATTTTATCTTTTTTTAGACGTTCAAGTTACTATTGGTTGTGTAATGCTTTAAATATTTATTGCCCAGTACAATGGGAGTATGGACGGTTAAATGTAAACTATACCGTTGTTTCTAAAAGGAAAATTGCCAAACTTATTGATGAAGGAATTGTTAAAGGTAAGAATTCTTCAATATAATTTAACGGGAATTTATAAACATTTGGATACCTTTTAAATAAAAAAATACATCCGTGAACATTTTTTAAAAATGACATTACCACTTGAAAAATCTGTAATTGGAAAAGTTTGTCAATTTAAAATCAGGAAAAAGGTTTTTCTGAAAAATGGTACATAGGTACATTTTGTAATTATTTTTGTAAAAAATATTGAAAAAAAATAGAAGAAAGAGGAATTTCCAATACCTCGCGAGTTATTTTTAAAAATCAAATTTTTACAAAACTACAAGACTATAATAGTCTTTATAGTTTAACCAAAACATCAGAAAATGGTTGTACTTAATGGAGCCAATTTAAATAAGTCAACATAACTTTGTTACTGTAGTTAGCTTAACAAAATTTAACTTTTCACACATGATTAGAAAACTGTTTTCTATACTTTTAGCTTGCATGCAACATTAAGTGCCCATTAAAAAATAATGACAAGTAGTTTAAAAAATAAAATTGCAACTTTGTTATTTTGAACAAATTTTAACTTTTTATTTTTGAACGGTATTTAGAATAGTATATTATGCAACACGTTTGATAAACAGCATTTCAGTCACGAATTTTAATTATGCACGAGCGTAGCAACTGTTTAATAAACGAGTGTCTAGAGAAGCTATATCTATTCGAACACAAAAATTAAATAATTTTAAAAAATAAATATATAAAATCTGACATTTGTCAAACGGTTCTAAAGTCTGAAAGCCACTGTTGCTTGTATTGTTTATTTAAATGATCCTTAGTGTCATAAAAACATATTCTATAATGAAATAAGTTATGTAATATAACACAAATTGTGTTTTAGAGATGGAAATAGAATATATAAAAAATAATATCGAAAGATTAAAATAACAAAATTCATTTTTGAAACCGTATATAATATACAGGGTGTTATGTAATTAATGTTATACAGGGTGTCCTGAAATTAGTGCACCATACTTTAACAGCAGATTCTACGTGCAAAAATAAGAAAAAAGTCCCTATAAATATATGTCGAGAATTGCCTCCTAAGGGAGCTACAGCCCCCGAAAAGGGAGCCCCTGAAGATGGTTTTTATCTAATATAAATAAAAAAGTAAAAACACCCTGTCACTTACTACATGAAACTGTCACCTGTCTTAAATTATTCTAACATGGCAGCCGTATTCCAAGGACCACGCGAGTCCATTTCTATGGTTGTGATTTAATTGTGAATTTTTATGCCATGTAAAATAATTTTCAAATCGATTTTATGCGAAAAAGGTGTATGTTATCGAAGTTCAACAAGATGACCTTTTTTATGTGCAAAACTCTAAAATTTTATAATCTGACACCAAATTCTGGTACAAGATACGTACAAAAAAGTTAAGGTGGTTTTAACCCTACTTCCTATCAATCTGACCCAAACCACATAAAAAATTTTAAATTTTTATTGTTACGTCTTATTGGTCATAAAAAGTTTAATTAACTCCCCAAATTTCATTTTTATATTTTTAACGGTTTTGGAGATATTAAATAAAAACCATCTTCAGGGGCTTTCCTTTTGGGGGCTGTAGCTCCCTTAAGAGGCATTTCTTGACCTATGTTTATAGGGACTTTTTTTCTTATTTTTGCACGTACAATCTGCTGTTAAAGTATGGTGCACTAATTTCAGGACACCCTGTATATTAAAATGGGTTGTTCCTTAGGGTCCATAAAGAAGCACCTGAAACTTTTTTTTTCTAAATTCCAAAGTCTAAAAATAATTTATAATATCCTTTATCCTACCAAATAGTACGCCACTAGGAACTTTATTATGTTATGGTTGGTAACAACAGTGTTTCCAAAATCTGTCAAAAAAGTTGACAAACATTGTTTAAATTTAGCTTAATTACAAAAATGACAAAATTAACAATGCAAATTGTCTGAAGGTAAATTCAAACAAAATCTGCCAACTTTTATGACAGAATCTAGTGCATTTCTTTCAAATTTTAGGTTATGTGCTCAAATTGTAAATATCTTAACTAAGGGAAGTGCTTTTGGATTTATTTACACAAATTAAATGTTTAAAGTTTAACCTGTTAATTGGTCCCAATTTCATCTGAGTAAACACAAAGAAAAAAACTGATAAAAAAATTAATTTTGTGGTTATGGATTTTTTAAAATAGGTAATAAATTTTCTAATCATTGATTAAGCTAATAGCTGGATGAGTAAATAAATACAGAAGGGTATTAGAGCTTTAAGAGCATAAAACTTTTTTATTTATTGAGTTTTTATTTATTTTTTGCAAGAAAAATTTTTATTAACAATTTTTTACATCTGGCAACGCGCAGCTACTTTGTTGGTTGGTATCTATGTCCTCACAGAACACAAGTGTGCAGAGATAAACCAGTGGCGTATCACAAAAAATCTAAAAAATTTCTAATGCATATTTTTTCTTTCTTTAAAAAAATATTTTTCCTTTACTCCTTATGTCAAAAGGTATTCAGTATTTTAATATATAACATTAATTACATAACACCCTGTATATGTATAGGTATTATACAGGGTGTCCCAGAACTCGCGCCAAAGAGAAAAAGGGGGCGTGCCGATAGCAATGGAGATGCAAAATTTAAAAATAAAAAATTTCTAGGTAATAGTGTAATCGAATGAGAGCAAAAAAGCGACAGCCAATACCGAGAGCTCTCGCCTAGGTTAAACGTAAGAGCTTTAAAAATTGCTAGGAGACGATAGAACATTGTTGTATTAAAAACATTTAAAAATCTTGGCCAAAAGATTTTTAAATGTTTTTAATACAACAATGTTCTATCGTCTCCTAGCAATTTTTATAAGTTGTCAAAAGCTTTCCAAAATGAGGTTATTAATCTATGACTTATACTTCAGAACGCCAATGTTTTAAAATAACGATTAGGAAAGGGCTGGGAAAAAACTCGCGTTGTCTCCCTGGCGTTGCGCCCACACTAAATAAATAAATAATTATCATTTCAGTATAATCATCTAAGGAAAACATTATTTATAATAACTTAATTTATAACCTAATATAATATTGACAGGAGTTTGGCAGCAGTGTCACAATGAATTGGATTCCAGTGGACCAAATATTTTACATATTTTTTATTATCAACAATGCAACCTAAGTATCCTAGCAATTTAAAGAATTCCCTATGGCCATCTATTGGGATTGGCTATCGTTTTTTATTCTTATCTCGCTTATCCTTTGCGTTAGACAATTTTAATTTTCAAATATGTGTTTCACGTTACTTTCGGCACGTTCCGGTTTTCTATGTGGCGCGAGTTCTGGGACACCCTGTACCTATATGGCATGAGTTAATTATTGCATTCATTAATTTGATTTTATTGACTTTTTTTATAAATCATGAATTAATTTAAACTTTTACTTCCAATGAAATTGCAATTGAAAAATGAGTAAAAAAAATTTGCTTCACCACTTTAGTTTATAGAATTTTGATTATCATTTAATCTGAATTTTTTTGTTTCAATTTAATACCATTTTTACAAAACAAGAACAATTAATAATAAAAAAAATAAAATTACGCGATCTGATCTGCAGATCATGATCTTAAAATGTAAAATAAAATATTTATGACGAAATTATTCCAAAACTGACACAATCCCAGGGGTCGTACTCGCTTCAAATTTTATGCAAAACTTAATATTTTCACCCTTGTTCATAAAATGTTCATAAATTACGAAAAATGGTTAAAATATTCATATTTTTCAACTAAGTTTAATTATAACAGTAACAATATGCATAATAATATGCATATTTATATTATAAATTACAAACTATTCCTTTGTGATACCCCTGGAACCTACATCAAACATTTGAGAAAGTCATGAACTTTTTCCAGATAGGTACTCTTAACATTTCAGCGACACAATTTTTGCCCTATGATATATTTTTTATTTTTTTGATATTGCACGTAAATTTTCACTGTTTCTCTTTACAATAAAAAACATATAATATATATGAAAAAAATTCTAAAACTTATTAAGTTATCCCATTTACAGAATTCTGTTAATTAATTGTCAGGTTTCACTGTTGGACCCTGAACTTTTACCTATTTGATGTTTGGTAAAGTAAATTTTTACGTTTATGTTGAATAATAAAAGAATTTTATTTATTTAGGTTAACTATTAGAATTTTATTTATTTAAGTTTACTAAAAGTACTAAATATTATATGTAGGTAATAAAGAGGCCGTCCATAAATGATGTCACACACTTAAGGTACAGATTCGTTGATGCGACTCGCGGCTGCGGCTAAACGCGTTAACCAAAACATATACAAACAAATTGTATTAAGCAGTGGAGCGGCTACGATCGCAGCCGCAAGCCGCGAGTCGCATCAACGAATCCGTACCTTTAGGGGGGAGGGGGTTAGCAGGTTGTGATGTCAAAAAATTTAAAAATATTTTAGATTTTTTTATATCAATAAAATCCAAATATCTAAAAAAATTGTGTGGTAGACCCATAATTTGTGACACTTTGCAATAATGGGAGAGGGGGGGTCAAAAATATCAAAAAAACGTGTGACATCATTTATGGACGGCCCCAAAAAGGATATATTTTTGTTCATTTTTATTGTCATATTTTAATAAAGACGTTCATAAAATGTTCATATTTTCATTAACACAAATGCATATTTTCATATGTTTCTTGAGCTTTGTCTGTACGACCCCTGCAATCCCTAAAATAGATTTAACTTATTTTGAACTGTTTTTTTTAATCAAATAAAAAAAAATATTTTCAATTTTTGAGTTTGTATTATGAGGCGCCGTCTGTGCCATAATTATGATTTATAAAATATATAATAATTTGAAAAAATATAAATATTTTGTTTAGAATATAAATAATTTGTTTGAAATGTATATATTTGAACTTATTTTCTAAGATATATATTAACTAAATAATATATATTTAAAACAGTAATACTAATAATATAAACTCAATACTAATAATATAAACTAAGCTTACAAGACGTAACGCCAGGAGGCGCTGGCAGCTTTATTTAATTTGGCAACGCAGTCTTTCTTTCATTTCATGTGAGAATTACAGTGGTGTAAATTAAATAACTTTTTGCCGCACTTTGGCTTTTTGTTATTTATTATATGTTTAACTGGATGTTTATTGTCGTGACTGTCTTTTTAAAACAATAATTTTTTATTCCTTAATTCTGGGCTACGCAAAACTATGTCGTCGATTTGGTTCCATTACTGCGGTGAAATTTTAAATGACCTATTAATCTGTTAGATTTTAATTTAAACTTATACCCAAGTGCTTTATTACGTACCAGAGGTATTATTATTTTTAATGTATCTTCTAGTTTTATTTAATTTACACCACAGTAATTCCGACATGCAATTACAGACAGGCTGCGTTGTCAAGTTAAATAAAGCTGCCAGCGCCTCCTGGCGTTACGTCTTGTAAGCTGAGTTTATATTATTAGTATTAAAATTATATTATTAGTTCAACTGTCCAAATATATAAATATTTTAAATATATATTATTTTGTAAAAATATTATTATATTTGGGTAAAATTATATATGTTATAAAATAAGCTAATATATATATATTTCAGACAAAATATTTATATTTTAAACAAAATATATATTTATTTTAGAAATTATTATATATTTTACAAATCATAATTATGGCACAAACGGCGCCTCATATTGTATTTTGAAAATATAATATACTAAAAAAAGTAAATTAATTTAAAAAAGTGTGAACTAATTCAAAAACTTGTTTTACTTTTTTATAAAAGTCGCGACTTTTTTCAACCCAAGTTACTCGCTGAAAAAAAATTGTATTTTTTTACACCTAAAATAACCTATGCTATTTAGGCCACTTCACTAACATGTTAAGATGAGTCGTTAGCGCGCTAACGACTATAATCAGTGGTTATCAGCCAATCAGGTTAATTGAATATAAGGATAACCACTAATTCGAGTGGCTAACGTTAACGATAGTGCATATGGCACTGCTATAACAAAATATATATTTAGTTCTGGACACCCTTTATGTAGAAATAAAACATTAAAATAACAAACATAGGTAACATTAATATTTTATATTTCATATTTTAAGGCCAATATAAGACTTTCTTACCCTATAAACATTTGCCCTAAAAAGCGTACCAAATTTACTGAAAATTTGAAAACCCTTGTTGTGCTTAATTTATTTTTTGACTCAAAATGGCGTAAATTTAGTTAAATTAAGACAACTGGTATTTTATAAAAATTCCAGTCATGGAAATTTGTCACACATTTGTTTAAGATTGGGATGATCCAAGGCTGTTCACCCTAACCGCGCTTAGAAGACGTGGTTTCCCAGCGGAGGCAATCAACAATTTCTGCGCCCAGTTGGGTGTAACTGGCGCCCAGAGTACCGTCGACCCATCCATGTTGGAGGCTTATGTAAGGGATTACCTTAACAACACTGCACCCAGGTAATTTTTTATTAGTTTTTGGTAATTAGGTTAAATTTAATTATTTACATTTTAGGAGAATGGTTGTAATGGATCCTTTAAAAGTAACAATCGAAAATTTCCCATCGGATAAATCTATTAAAGTTGCTGTACCTAACTTCCCCAATAAGCCTGAAATGGGCTCTCATGAAGTCGTCTTTTATAAAACTATTTACATAGAAAGAGCTGACTTTACAGAAGTAAGTTATAAAAAAAGTCTAAAAAACACTCAATAATTTTCATTTCAAGGTTGGTGATAAAGGTTACAGAAGATTGACCTCCACCCAGTCTGTAGGCCTTAGACATGCTGGGTTCATTTTGGAAACAGTAAAAGTTATCAAAAACCCCCAAAACGAAGTTACCGAAATTGTTTGCAAATGTATCGAAGTTGATAAGGCTCCCGCCAAACCAAAAGCCTTCATCCATTGGATAAGTGAACCCATGAAAGTAACCATAAGATCATATGCACCACTGTAAGTAGTTTTCATTACACCACAGTGAAAATACTATAGTTTTGTTTTTACCAAACAACTTAACTGTTAAATTAAATATTTTAAATTAATATCAAAATTTTCGTTAAAGGTTTAAGCACAAAAACCCTGAAGACACTAATGAAGTCCCTGGAGGATTTTTAACAGATTGTAACATGGATTCATTGACAATAATAAACGCTTTTGCTGATGTTTCACTTAAAACTGCAAAAGTTTATGATAAGTTCCAGTTTGAGAGAATTGGATTTTTCTCTGTTGATCCAGATACTACTGCCAATTCTGTAAGATTATGTCTAATTTTTTAAATTTTATCCATTTTTATTATTAATATATTTATTATTTTTAGCTTATCATAAATCAAACGGTTGGACTTAAAGAAGATGCCGGAAAATAACTTATTATGTTGCTTTAAACAATGTTAAGTAAAATTTATACATTTTCAATGTTTTTTACTCTATTTATTAGGTATACCTCACCAAAGACTATATTTTTCGTCTGGTTCATTTTTGTATACAGCCCAGGAAAAAGTATTCCCATGCCCAGGTATTTACCACCCTAGGCTGTTAATTTTTGTGTGTCCCTGCCTTTCCTCAATTTAAATATTTTTGTAAGTATGTGGTTCAAGTGTACTACCAAACATTTTTTTTTTAATCTACTAAATACTAGTACTGCACTAGTTATAACTACCAATTCTGTAAAAAAAATTGCTTTAATACCTCTGGTTAGCAAATTACAGTGGTGCAAAGTTTACAGTTATCCTTTGACAAAATAAAATATAACATTTACAAAATTAATTTTTTTTAAATTGATTTTATACCTATTTTTTATGAAGCAAATATTAGCTATTTTCGCGGAGCTAATCCCGAACTGATTCCGGACATCCTAGGCATGGGCTTTTTAAAATTAGGGGTTCAAAATGACAAATATTAAAATGCGCATGCCTAGGATGTCCGAACTAGTTCGGGAATAGCACCGCGAAAACATCTATTTTTTTAATAAAAAACATCCAATAATTTTGAAATTTTAAATTATTTAATTTTTTTAAAATGCATTTTTAAAAAGATTAAATTAAGTTTGTTGTAAAGCTTGAATTATTTCGGTTTAAAACCATAAAAATTTAATAATGGGCTGAAAATTATTTTTCGAAGTTTTCAACTGTTTAATATGAGCTAAAGCACAGAAATGTGTTATCTGTCATCAAGCAACACCTACTTTGACAGGTGCCAAGATGATAGATGACAGATAGTACACTTCTGCAATTCCATACTAAAGGTACGGTTTCGCTGATGCGACTCGAGCGACTGCGGCTTGCGACTGCGATTGATCGCAGTCGCAATATTGAGGGTTTTCGTTCATGCGTCTAGTTTTATGCGATTTGGCTTAGTTTAATATATGAATCTCCAATTCAAATTTATATATATATATATAGTAAGCTTACTATTTTTTTCCACAAAAAATGCTATCTTTTTCCATCCATTCTCTTTAATTACAATATTCTTGTAGGCTTCATCTTCATGGTCAAAAATTAAGGGGTATTTTTGAATTTCTTTGACCAAAATTTCATTCTCGTTTGGACCACACTTTGCCAAATTTTACCAAACAATCGCAGACGACTGCGATTTGACTGGTCTATGTAGCACTGCTACAGTAGCAGTCAGGTCGAAACGGCTGCGGCTCGATCGTAATCGTCAAGATACCTGGTAATCGTCTGCGACTGAACGCGCCAACCAAAACATATACACACAAATTGTACTAAGCAGGGGCGCAGCTAAGGTCGCAGCCGGGAAGCCGCGAGTCGCATCAACGAAACCGTACCTTTACTCCTTCCTGAAGTTCAAAGATAAAAATATTTCTTAAAAAGAGGAAGAAACACCGATATTGGCAACGTTGTATAAATGTATATATAGGGGAAATATGGTTATTTAAGTTGGTACCGCGGTTTTCAAAGCGACCTCTACTCACAGAACATAAGCCTCTACTTTTGACATTTGTTTTGACAGACGTGGCCGGTCAAAATCCTTGTCTTACGTGGTTCATGACGTATTTTTATTTATAAATCCGTTAGTCACCGACATTTTCACGACACTACGATAAGATTGTCAGTTTATTAATAGAAAATTTCATCAGGGGGTTTTTAGTTGTTTTAGTTTGAGTATAAACGCAATCGGTTTAATTTTATTGTGTTAATTTGTCAAATTTTCGTTCCTTTTTTACAATGAGTTTACAGTGGACTTTGATAGCTACGTTTTTGTACGTCGAAATTGGGGTGGTTTTGCTTTTGGTACTACCCGTCGCAAACCCAAAAAGATGGAACAGCTTTTTCAAATCGAAATTTTTGCAAGGGCTTCAACGACAGGCAGGAATTTATTTCTTGATTTTGCTCGCTATACTCGTCCTATTCTTGCTTGATGCCATCAGAGAGATGAGAAAGTATGCTAACCCAGGTAAGACATAAGTTTTCTACCTTAAAAATGATATCTTAAATTAATAAATGATTTTCTTAATTTGCAGAAGAAGTTCATGGTCACGATCAATTGGACAAGCAAATGCAGGAAAGCATGAGACTGTTTAGAGCACAGAGGAACTTCTACATCTCAGGTTTTGCCCTATTCTTATCCTTGGTAAGTTTTACTAATTATTTAATTAATTTTATTTCATATTTAAAGAAATTTAAAGAAAAAAATTAAAACTATTTAACATTGTTTTAAAATGTAACCATTCATCTCCATTAAACTTTGAAGTTTTGAATTAATATATAGAAAATGTTTACAAAGTTCTATAGGTATAATTGCATCAATGAATATTAACTTATTTTGGAGTTTAAATTGCTGCTATAGGTACTGAGTGTTTTTAAAAACTTTTGTATAAATAATAAAGCCCAGTAGCCACAACCAATTTAACTTGGGATATAGGTAAGATTAGATTGACATATTTTAAGCTATGGAACATTTAGGAACCTTTACTACAATTTCCTTGGTTCCTTCAAGGAACTTCCTTGGCTTAAAATATGTCAATTAAATCTTAACTATATCCAAAGTTGGTTTGGTTGTAGCTACAGGGCTTTTTTATTAATACGAAAGTTTTTAAAAACACTCAACAATACCAACAATTTATACTCCAAAATAAGTTAATAGTCATGAATGCAAGTTCAAGGTATTAAAAAAGACAAGATTACATTTTACTTTATTTTAAAGCCCCCTATTATCTATAAAAAGATGGATTAAATTGGTTTATTTAGTCATGGAATGTATGGTATTTTGTTGTAATCTCTATTTTTAAATAATAATGTACACAAAATGCGAAAACTGTATATATCAAACCAAGCAAAGTCCATTTAAGAAAAAACTAGTAATATGAGCAATAATAATATATATTATAAGGTATGATATTTTTACTGGAGTCGTATTTTCAAAAAAAATGTTGATAAATGGGATGGAATTAGATAATAAAAAATATTGGACTAGCAAAAATAAATGACAAGTAGTCAAGCAGAGAAATAATTATTTTAAATAAATACTCATGGTGTTTCAGATTTTTGTCACATAACTTTAACACCTAATAAAACTAATTAACAAAGTTTATATAAACATAAAGTTAGTTCTTTTATTCCTAATTTGACACATTTAAATATGTTGGTATTGTGGTTAATATACTTTTGTATTTTTAATATTTAAAATTGGTACTCCTGTTCAAGCCCTTAATTTTATTAACTTTGACATTTGTCAATGACAAATTGTGATTTAACTATCAGAATTATAATTATATTAATTATATATACCATAACCACGGGTGGCTTTCAAACTTAATCTTAACATTTTTGTAGTTTTAACAATCATAAACATTAAATATTGTATGCCAAAATTTGACTCTTGAGTTGCTCTTTCATAATAACTATGTTATAATCTTACATAGGGCTGAGCTTCAAAAATAAAAATTAAAAACTGGGTGTGCCCCTGGTTGCGGGTTACTTTACCTCACAGTGTATTTTCCGTATAAAATTAACTCAATATTTTATTTTATTTTTATTAGACATAATATGTCTAATAAAAATAAAATAAAATATTGAGTTCATTTTATACATATTTTATATATATTATATATATTATATATATGTTAGCAGCGACATATAGCAATTGCAAGGGATTACCGATAAAAACAATAAAAAATCGACCTGTAGTTAACCAAGGATCATCATTCCAAAGAATTGCGCATAATATAGAAATTGAAACGCGTGTATTTTTAAGAGTTTTGCACTAATGCAATGTATACAACTTTAAAGTGTAATAAATCCCATTTATTTTATTAAAACACTGATTTTCCAGTAATATAAACTCAATAGAATCGCTTATTTGACAGGTTTAGACCAACAAATTATAAATGTTAATTTTATCGAGCGCGAAAAATTTTTTTATAAAAGGGCTACCCGCGTGGTGCAAAGTCACCCGTGTTTACGGTATATTAATTTAATTAAGAGGAAGTGAGATTGAATCAGTCTAAAAGTTGTTGGATAATAAACACAGAGTTTATTAATTATTATTAAACAGTGTTTATTCCGTCATCCGATGATAAAATAATTCATTCTGTAACAGTTTAAGGAATATATGTAATTCCACATTAAAAGTGATGTTAATGTTCCGTAATAGGAGTAGAAATTATTTTTTTATGGTATTTTGAAAACGTAGAAAAAGTATTGAAATTGAATATTCCGCTCTCGTGAAACCATCAAACTCGCCTTCGGCTCGTGTGACAAACTTTTCACTCGAGTGGAATATGATCTATTCCAAACTTGTTACAGAATATATTTTTAATGGCTAGAATAAAGAGCCTGAAATAAACTTTCCCAGGTAAACTAACTTTTCACATAACCTTAACTCAAAATTTTCTTTGCAAGGTAATAAATCTATTTATTTTAATGGGTATCTGTTAAACCAGTTCCTAAATAAACAAATATTTGCGGAAATATGCAGTCTTTCCTTCTGAATGATCTCATTTATAATTAAATTACGACATTTTTTGGTTCAGTTTTGTCCTCATTTTAACGTTTTGATTACGCGTCTAAGTATTCTCAACTAAACTAGTTTGTTCTATCTTACATAAAACAACTGAGGAGTGATTTTTCAAAAGGCTGTATTTCCATTTTTACTTGAATGTCATTTTTCGACAAAATCACAAAGGTATGGTTAAAAGGCATATATTAAATGGTGAATATATTCACCATTTAATATATGTTGCACAAGATGTTAAATGTCAAGAAGTGATGTGTTTATGTAATGAGCCAGAGATGGATATCCTTAAAATGTAAGCCTTACATATTTTATAATACATAACCACGGGTGGCTTTCAAACTTAATCTTAACATTTTTGTAGTTTTAACAATCATAAACATTAAATATTGTATGCCAAAATTTGACTCTTGAGTTGCTCTTTCATAATAACTATGTTATAATCTTACATAGGGCTGAGCTTCAAAAATAAAAATTAAAAACTGGGTGTGCCCCTGGTTGCGGGTTACTTTACCTCACAGTGTATTTTCCGTATAAAATTAACTCAATATTTTATTTTATTTTTATTAGACATAATATGTTATATATATATGTTAGCAGCGACATATAGCAATTGCAAGGGATTACCGATAAAAACAATAAAAAATCGACCTGTAGTTAACCAAGGATCATCATTCCAAAGAATTGCGCATAATATAGAAATTGAAACGCGTGTATTTTTAAGAGTTTTGCACTAATGCAATGTATACAACTTTAAAGTGTAATAAATCCCATTTATTTTATTAAAACACTGATTTTCCAGTAATATAAACTCAATAGAATCGCTTATTTGACAGGTTTAGACCAACAAATTATAAATGTTAATTTTATCGAGCGCGAAAAATTTTTTCATAAAAGGGCTACCCGCGTGGTGCAAAGTCACCCGTGTTTACGGTATATTAATTTAATTAAGAGGAAGTGAGATTGAATCAGTCTAAAAGTTGTTGGATAATAAACACAGAGTTTATTAATTATTATTAAACAGTGTTTATTCCGTCATCCGATGATAAAATAATTCATTCTGTAACAGTTTAAGGAATATATGTAATTCCACATTAAAAGTGATGTTAATGTTCCGTAATAGGAGTAGAAATTATTTTTTTTATGGTATTTTGAAAACGTAGAAAAAGTATTGAAATTGAATATTCCGCTCTCGTGAAACCATCAAACTCGCCTTCGGCTCGTGTGACAAACTTTTCACTCGAGTGGAATATGATCTATTCCAAACTTGTTACAGAATATATTTTTATTGGCTAGAATAAAGAGCCTGAAATAAACTTTCCCAGGTAAACTAACTTTTCACATAACCTTAACTCAAAATTTTCTTTGCAAGGTAATAAATCTATTTATTTTAATGGGTATCTGTTAAACCAGTTCCTAAATAAACAAATATTTGCGGAAATATGCAGTCTTTCCTTCTGAATGATCTCATTTATAATTAAATTACGACATTTTTTGGTTCAGTTTTGTCCTCATTTTAACGTTTTGATTACGCGTCTAAACTAGTTTGTTCTATCTTACATAAAACAACTGAGGAGTGATTTTTCAAAAAGCTGTATTTCCATTTTTACTTGAATGTCATTTTTCGACAAAATCACAAAGGTATGGTTAAAAGCAGTGGCGTATTTAGGATTTAGCTCCGGGGGGGTCCAAAAAAACTAACTAAATATGTATACATATTTAGTTAGTTTTTTTGGACCCCCCCCCGGAGCTAAATCCTAAATACTATACTATGCTATGCTTTAATAACTAAAAAATCACAAATTAGGAACTCTTCTGATCCGATAAAATAGTAAATAAAAGGAACTTTTTTTGTAATAAAAATAATAAAATATGTGCGCCCGGGGGGGGTCCGGACCCGGCGGACCCCCCCCTAAATACGCCACTGGTTAAAAGGCATATATTAAATGGTGAATATATTCACCATTTAATATATGTTGCACAAGATGTTAAATGTCAAGAAGTGATGTGTTTATGTAATGAGCCAGAGATGGATATCCTTAAAATGTAAGCCTTACATATTTTTCAATATTGTTAGCACAATAAAGATATTTTTCCATATATTTTTTAAAACGGTATTCAATAAAAAAGTAATATTTCCAAGTTTGTACACCACAAAAAGGCACATTCCCAAAATGATTTCATACAAAAGGGCTTATTTCCAAATAATTTTTAATAATACCATTGCTATAAATATTTAAATTTAAACCACCAATACGACAGCATGTCTGAAGTAGTATTATATATTCATCAGAATTTTTTTTTTAAATAATCTATATCGCCCTAACCTATACAGGTTATATTCGTTTTTTGAAAATGTTTTGCAAATGGAAATAAAACCTTTTGAAAAATCACTCCTCAACTGTTGCTGACCCGTAAAAAGATTACAAAGTTAATAAAGATATATCATTGATTAATAAGTGTACTTCTTCATTCAACGGATATATACTATTTTATTCTAATAACAAAAATTTTAGGTGATCAGGCGTTTAGTTATCTTGATTTCTGCTCAAGCAAACCTATTGGCACAAGCAGAGGCCTCCATGAGACAAGCACAAAGCGCCACAACCGCCGCTAAAGGTCTATTGGCGCAAAAAGGAGAAATCGATCAAAACGCCACCAACGAAAACCGCGACAAGGAGGTAAGTGTTATCATTACTAAAACCGTAACCTCATCTACTAAAACACATTTTTGACGTCCAATTTTCTATTGTATCAATTCCGGTCTTTCTCATGACATTTTTTCTTTATAGCTTTTACTTCTGAAACGATTTTTAACATTCGGTCGTTATGTAAGTTGATAGTTTGTGTTCATTACCCATGTCAAGAACTAACTGATTTTTTATTGTTAATTTTTGCTATAAATTCACTCTAGAATCCCTTTCGTTAGAGCCGCTAAATCAAATATTGCTTTCTTATCAAATGGGTATAACAGAAAGCACCTCCACTTTACATTTGAATACATTTTTATTAATAGATTACTTGTTTCCTATTTATCACAGAACTTCTAATATTATAAAAAAATGTTTCTTATTATTAATTTTTTTCCATAAAAATGTATTGTCAATATAACTGTTGATAAACATATTTTTATTCTTGAGCACCTAAAGACTTTGTTACTTTTATTGTAAATATTTATTATTTACTAGTTTTCTAGTTAAATGCCCATTTGTTTAATAAACCTACTAATAATTTCAGTGTTATGCTTATTTTGTTAGGTTTCTTATTTTAAATTAACATAAAGTTTTTATATTTGATTATGAAAGTTTTTTGTTATATTAAATAAAAATACACTTAAGGTTCTATAGGAAATAATTTGTTACAATCATTAATTAAATAAGTTTTATTACTATAAATTACTGCCAATATCAATATCAAGAATTCAGATAAAAAACAAACCTTTACAATATTTTTGATAAATTTATTATTTTAACTTTTCTTAAAATTGAATATTTTTATTTATACAATCTTTAAATTGTATTTACAGTACATACATATGTACGTATGTAGTACAATATAAGTAACAAGGTGGGCTCCTGATGTTTATGAATATTTCAAATTAATAGGCAATCTTTTTTTATATATGAAATATTTTATTATTGTGTAGTAATTATACAGAGTGAAAAATAAGTACCATTACATTACTGTGTGGTAATAGAACCATTTTTTTCCTGACCTTCCCTTGTTTTTGAAATACATGGTGTTAAAGTTTTAATTTAATTGTTATTTAATTTTTCTATTTAAAACAGAAAACGCCGCACTAACGCCATACCACGCGATAGTGGGGGTTATTTGATTACACAGGGTGTAAAACAAAGGTTGAAAAAAATTATTCTTTAGTAAAAAATAATTGAAGTACACAGTAAAACCACCTCTGTAAATTTACTACGCACAGAATGGCAAAAAACGGGACAATGCGATGTGCGCAGTAAAAGTAGTTGCGCGGACGTAAAATTAAGGAGTGTATAAAAATGGATAAATTTTCCATTAAAATAAAAATTAAATTTCGTTTTATACTGGTTTTAAAGACAACATTTGTAGTTCCAGTTTTGTACTAAAACATATTTTCTGATTACTTGAGGTTATAACCTCACTTTTTCATCGCATCGAATTTCATGCGGACAGTTAAAAATAATCTTTTATATAAGGTTGATGCATTTAACATTATTACTTTTTTTAATACGTAGGTACTTGGTACCTCTTTAAAATATTAAAAGTGATAAAAAATCTTTAATTTTGAACGTTGTTTTCTTGTGACTTACAAGTCACAGCACATGCATGCAGTGTTGCCAGCGTCAGTACGTTTGTACCGAATTCAGTACTTACGAATTAAAAAAAGTACGCAAGTACCTCGTTGGTGGTTTTCAGTACGTTTTCCAGTTTTAGATTTTTTTCTCTTTATTTAAATAAAAATTAAAGAAAAAATTAAAAGTTTAGGTTGGTGATACTGAGTTGTTTTAGTATCCTGGTAATTTAAGTTTTAAACTGTTGGCAGTAGAGGTGGAGAACTATCGATAGTGCTGGGTTACGATTAATCGATAGTGCGCTTCTAACACCATCGATAATATCGATAGTACTATCGATAGTTTTAAATTTAATATTGGGGGAATAATAAACAAAAATAAATCACAGGTCGAGTATCACGAACACTTTTGGGAACCCCTTGCACGCATATACCCATAGAAAACCTCTGTGTTATGCTCGCACAAACGGACTTTAAATTATATAGATAACTATTTGGCACAGCAAATGTCATGTAGTCGGTAAAAAAGGATGCTTTCATAATTAAAATTTAGTGACTTTCTACTTATTTTTTTAATATTTTTTATTTTTAATTATATTTAATATGATATATTAAAATTAGAAACTTTAAGGCGATGAATTTTTAGCGGGCGATTTTCGGTGACTATCGTTCAAATTCCTCTGACTATCGATAGATGGCGATAGTGGTTAAACTATCGATAGTCCGATAGTTGCCATCGATAGTTCTCCACCTCTAGTTGGCAGCGCGCGTTGTCTACTCAGTGTTGACATAAGGTTTGTTCCAAGTTCGCCAAGAACCGTCCTAGAACTCTTTGCTCATGGGAATAAGATAAAAAATGTCGAAAACGTTTTCATGCAAAGCAATTATTGAATCCAAATACCTCAATCTTTGTTAAAAAAAGAAAATTAATTATCGATAGGTAGACTATTTTTTTATTTTACCAACAATATTGTTTTTTTTTTCGAAGTTTTTTTGTATAGGTATAATAATAATTATCTATTTTGTTCTTTTGATGTTTATAGTTTATTTATGTGCATGTGTTTATTGATAAAGTACAAAATAAAATTACGCTCATATAAGTTTATTTCTCAAAATTGGAGAAAAACCCAAAGTCAGTAGTACTGACTCAGTACGTTATCTTCCAAATTCAATACGTTTTTATTGCCATTTCAGTACTTTAATTTTTCTACTACTGGCAACACTGCATGCATGTCCAATGATGCCAAAACGCTGGAACTACGAATTCACATGCACGAATGCAATTTTTGTTTAAAAAACCCATATACCTATAACTTAGTTAGTTATAGGTATATGAAAAAACCCTACCGCAATACCCGTGTATACGCCACTGTAACCTACAAAGTCAATTTGTTTACTTCTTCTAGAGCATTACCAAATAAAGCAAAGGCTAAGATTTTGTTTACTTATCTTTTATTTTTCGAAGGTTATTAAATAAAAACCATATTTTAACTCCCTGTAACTTAAAAACCTAAGAAAAACACCATTTTATTTTTTTCCACCCTGTATGAGTAGTTTTTAATTTTATATTATAAAAAACATGTACTTACAACATTTTATTTAAACAACATGATTGGGAAAAAAGTATAATTACTATCAATGGAACTTAAACACCCTGAATAATAATAACAATCTACACACATTTTTTTCAATTGGCTAAAATAACTTTCTCTGCTAAAAAAATCATAATAATTTGAGACTAAAATATTATTTTTAGGTTTCAATTTTAAAATCAAAGGTTGAAGATTTGGAGGAAGAACTCAAGGTTGCCAAAAAAGACAAAACAGCCATCAAGACCCAAGCTGACAATTTGGCTAAAGAATATGACAGGTTGGCAGAAGAAAACATAAAATTGCAAAAGAAAATTACTGTTGGAGGTGGTGATAAAAAAGATGAATAAATTGTTAAGTATTTTAATAAGGCTGAGAATTAATATGTTTATTTATTAGATGTGGTGTTGAGAAATATATAACCAATATGTTATTATAATTACATTTAATGTCAATAGTTATTCCAAGCTAGAGCACTTCCATGTTCATTTTTTCATATTTTATAATAAATCACTTTAAATGTAATTAAAGTTGGTATTTATAGTATTTAGGCTCTGCTATTGGTACTTACAAATTATCAATAACTTCTTCTACTCTTTTGTTATTATGTTATTAAATTATTAACTTAATAAAACTTTTTTATTACATAGTTCCTTATTATACCACTAAAGGATAGAAAAACTACAAAATTAAAATTGAATTTATATTATTTCCACCAAAAACTAACTGAAAAACTTTTGTCTAGGGCTGTGACATGATGCCACCATTTTAAAGGTATGTATAGCATATCACCAGGTTCCAAAAGGCATTTGTACATGGTTGCCTTTGTGAATTCTTCATGTAAGAGTAAATTTGGATTTATAGGATCCACTTGGGATGTGTTAAATAATAAATTACTTTCATGTGGATACAAATATTTAGTATCTTCAGAAGAAAATAGTATGATTTGTTTGGTACCATAAACCTACAAAATAAAAAAAAATCATAATTACAAGTGAATGTTTCATAATTTTTCCTACCTGAGCTAAAATATTGTCCTTGGGATCAAAATGTAAAGGCGACACTGTGCCTTTTGGTCCAAACCATGCATTAATATCAGGTTCTATACAATTGTCATAATCTAAACTAAGGGCACAATATTCTGGAATACAAATATCATTCTTTAATTCGGAAATCTAGAAGATTAAAAAATATGATTTCACTTAATATTGTTATATGACAATTAGGGTTGGGACAGTTGAAATTTTCAAATGAAAGTTTTAAACTTGAAATATTTCATTTAGTTCGAAAAGTGAAATTTTTTAAAATTTCAAATAAAATTTTCAATTCGAAAATTTCAACATTGCCTGTGAAACTTTAACAAATTTCATTGAAAGTTTCGCAATTTACTGAAAATTTCGCATAAATTTCACATGCGGCCTCCCCTGGGACCTTTAATAATAACAGATTCCGAATCGACCAATAAGAACGAGTTATCAAGCGTCTGGGCGTTTTTGTTTAGTTCAGCTTGGATTTGAATACACTATAAGTAATTATTGTTACTTATATGCATAAATTAATTTAAATATTTTAATTCAGTACCAATTTCATTTGTAAATTAAATGAGACTTTTTTTAAAAGTCATGATTAATTTAAACTTTTACTTTTGCTATAATTGTACCCAGGGCCGGATTTACGAATTTGCCGCCCATGGGCCCAACGCATCATTACCCCGAATAACGAATGACTCAGCGAATAAGCTAGAGTCGCGCCCCACTCGCCTCGTGTACATCGACTGCCGCCCTTCTACGCAGTGACGCACTACGCAGAATAATAGTGTAGTCTGATATAAAATTATCTAATGTATTAAAAAACTTCTCTTCCAACTTTTTATAGTTTTAATTAGTGTATAAATCTGAGTGAAAACAAAAATTCTGCATAAAACGCTCTTGATTTTTTAGCAAAATTTTAACTGGCCTTTAAAATTTGCCGCCCCTTAGATTTGCCGCCCTGGGCCCAGGCCCATGTGGCCCATGCCTAAATCCGGCCCTGATTGTACCTATCGGAAAACGGATAAAAAATGCCTTTGGCTCATAAAATTTTGATGAAGTTTCTTCAATTTTTGTAAAATTTCAGTAAAATATATAAAAATAATAAATATATATATAAATATAAAGCAATGAAAGTGGCCCAATCTCATTAGCTTACCAAAAAGTGCTATATCTCTCTTAGTTTTAGTAATTTTAAAAATATTTTAAAAGGAAATCTCAAGAAATTTGTGGTAAACATAGGTATTTACTATTTATATTATTGGTGCAGGGGCCCACAGAGGGGTAGGAGGTGGTGGGCTTATTTCAATATTAATATATTACACTTAAAGTGATTGAAATTTATTGAAAGTTTCAATAAATTTCATGAAATTTCAGACATTTAGTAAATTTTAATAAATTTCATAAATGTCGTGAAAATTTCAAGTGAAATTTCAAGTACAGTTGTATTCATTAAAAAAGCGTACAAGAATTAGAATGAGAGAAAACTGTCAACATTATTGCGTAAAACCGGCTTTCCACTGACTTAAGTCACTATAACTGACAGTAGAAAATAAAAATGCCTTGTCAGTTAAAAAGGCTCAAATAGTATCAAGAATCAAAGAAGAATGGTCAATTCGTACTGTGGTATAATAGAAATAAAAAATCTATATTAAAAATTAAGCAACGCTGCGAACAGGAAGATTTACTAAACCAAAAAGTTGGTTCAGGTCGTCCCAAAATGTCCACCCCTGAACAGGATGCTGCTTTTTTGAGATATCTGAGGATTTATGGGAAACTATACAACTATACTATACCTACTATACTGCTGGGAAGATATTAATCCAAATATTGTATTAAATTTAATTCAGTTCATCCCAAATAGATTGGCTCAAGTAATAGAAAAACAGGGATGCATGACAAAAATATTACATTTTATTATTATTTATCATGTTTGTTTTTTCATTATTAAAAGGTAATAATTTTTGTAATATTATTTAATTAACCTACGACGTCAATGCTCTTTATAACCTATAATAATAATTTTAATGACTTATGTCAGTGATAAGCCGGTTTTAAGCAATAATATTATTTTGACAGTTTTCTCTCATTCTAATTCTTGTACGCTTTTTTATTGAATACAACTGTACAAGCAAAAAGTGAAATTTTCCCAACCCATTGACAATACATTTCAGGTCTTGTTTAAAAAAAATATTTTATATACAAAAATGGCCTAAAACAATTTTTTTATTTATTGATTTTAACATTCTTTTTTAAATTGAATATCAATTACCTGTTCAAATAAATTATGCTGTGCAAGATACCCAATATCTCCATCATCATCACTCAAATAATGTTTGTGAATAAAATCCTTAAGGGTCATTAATTTTTGGGACCAATTCTCATCAACATAATGCGAACCTATTTCAATTGGAACAGTTCTATCTCCAGCTATTTTTAAAATGTAATTTACATCTAACCATTTGGTGGAAGCTGGCCAGTGTTTCATGCAACTTTTTAATTTAACAGGAATTTTTGCTTTAAAATATATTTTATCAAATAGTTCCATTGAAGGGCATTCTTCATAATTTATTTCCTTGGCATTTAAATTGTTATAAATTATTAAGTCTTCATCTAATTTCAGTCTCTTAACTGTATTAAAAACTATCACAGAATTATTAAGTTCGCTTATTTTGCATGACAAATACTTTGCAATATCAGTTAATAAATCACTATTTTCATTCAGTGGAGCACCCAAAAGTAAACCTAAATCTATACATTTCAACGCTTTTTGAAGCAACTCCAAACTAAACTCAGATGCCGTTTGCAACATAATCAACATTTTTGCAAAACTTGCCACTGAAAAGCATCTTCGAACATTAATTGGCACATCACTCCAATGTCCAGTGTTTAATTCATCATGTAAGTAATCCACAACAGAATCTATCTCAAAAAGCGATTTACTCTTACCATCACACGTACAGAAATTTAAACAACCCTCCAATGTATCAGAAACTCCTTTGGAAGCAATACTGTCTTTATATTCATATAATTCCGATTTATTAATAACAAATTTGTTAATTGTGTTAGCTAAAGCCAGATGCTTCATTCTTAAAATTCTAATAAAAACAATGCTATAATAATTAATTAACTATGGTTGATGACAAAACCCCTTAAAATTTAATTAAAAATTTAAAACTTGTTTAAAATGGAAAAGTTAGGTTATAGTGTAAAAGTAGGTTACAGAAAAATATCTTTAAAAGAACAGTAGTTCCAATGGATTATGGAATTATGAATTAACAACAGGGTTGTCCACAAATTATCGTTTTTGATCATGGTACTAAGACAAGGCTTAGTACCATATTGTCTTAGTACCATGATAACTTACCATTGGTAAGTACTCATGTACGATAATTATCGTAAGTCTGGCAACTTTGTTTATATATACAAATTTTAAACTACTTTAAACTAAAGTCCGCTGCACAATAGCCCGGGAAAGGGAATCTAAACAGAAAAGGTTGGAGAGACTAAAAAACCACTATTGATATATAAAAAACCACTGTTGATAGATAAGATAAATAAGTGTTTGCTGAGTCTCTCCCCCTTTATCGTTTAGGTTCCCGTTCTCGTTACCGGGCTGTTGTGCAGCAGGCCAAAGAACACTTTTTTCTATGCTTTGCAGCAGGCTTAACTGAAAGTTAAATTTGGCAACCATGGCATCTCAAATGATTTATTTATCGGTTAGTTGAAAACAGACAATCTGCGATTTGTGTTTATAAGCTTTAAGGTCTACGTAATTAATTATTTGTTTGTATTCAATGTGTAAGTGTAGACTGTGACCAAAAATGATTCCAAGATGAGTATTAGTGGTTAACAAGGTAATTTACAAGTCAAAAATTATGATTAAAAAGAATAAATATCTCTATTTTTAGTTTCCCATTCATAAAAAGGTCGCACATTTAAATTATTAAGTTATAAATAACAGTGAAGAGCTATGAGTGATTTCAAACCCAAGTTTGTTAAACCATCAGACACATCGAGCTTCCTAGATAGAAACGAATCTTCGGTTGCAGAGTCTACTCATTTTGTATTTAATAAACATTTATCTCAAAGTATCCAAACTCAGCGACAAAGATTGCCCATATTTAACAACAGAAATCATATTTTATATTTGTTGGAGAAGTTTCAAACATTAGTTTTGGTTGGGGAGACTGGATGTGGGAAAAGCACTCAAATACCTCAGGTACACTAGTCAAATTTTATCTATCTAATTTTAAAGAATTTTAAAATCAATATTTATGGATATTTTTTTTTAGAGAATTAAAGATATATGTTTAAAATTTAAAATTACTTAATTTAATATGATTTTAAAATTTCATTAACATGCAGGGCTCCCACACCTCCTAAAACTCATAAAATTCCTAAAATTTGGCTTAAATCCTGAAAACTCCTAAAATTTTCCCAAAATTGCATTCATTCTCATAAAATTCCTAAAATCCTATAAATTAAATTTAAATAGGCCAACCTGACTGCGTTTAATTAAGGTAGTTGTCGCGCTAAAAAAAATCTTTTTTAAATAGTATATATATATATATATATATTTAGGTTCTATTTTATTAAATTCTTTTTAAAATGATGTAATATCACAACCAAAATTTTTCTTAAAAAACAACAAAAAAAAACTATAAAATTGTCATTTTTAGCCATATTTCGTTTGTTTTAGACAAAAATATACCGTGTTATATATTAAACAAACGGATATTTAATTTTCTTTTAAATGACAGCTAAAATAGTAAACAATCTAAAGAATGTTTTGCTGTATTTTGCAAACTTCATATTTTTTATGAGATTTTTAAGTATTAAGATCCACATTACAATTGAATCGACGAAAATAAGAACAGTACCTATACTACTAAGAAAATAAATTGTCAAAATTAAATGTTTGGACTTGTATACAAGTCCAAACATTTAATTTTGACAATTTATTTTCTTAAATCATTATTAAAGTTTAAAATAATAAATTATTTTTTCTACTTCCACCTTTAAAACGTCCATTATCGTACATGTTTCCATGACACTAAGTGACCTTTTAAATACACATTGAAAAGTTTTGGCTTTATGGCGTTTTAGTCACGGGCTGAAGTTAGCAACAGGTTTTTAGTCACGGGCTGAAGTTAGCTTTAAGTTAGTTGACAGTTGTCAAATGTAATACCTACGATCGTTAAAATAAAGTGCCCTTCTTGTAAAATAATACTAATAATAATACTTAAATGTGAAAATTATTTTATTATCGCAATACAAAAATACAAATGCATTAAATAGTCAAAGATATCTTTGTAAATAGTTTCTCAACGCCAATATTTGAAAAGTTTATATGAACATTGTACTGACCTTTTAATTTCGCCGAAAGTAAACTGGATAACTTAAATTCGAGCTCGGACTCCACCGTGAAGAGCTCATAAAACATTTTCTTTACTTTCACTGAGAAAAACTCTTGTTAATCGATTTTCAACGAAAATATTTCGATTTATAACCTTTATAACACAGAAAAATTTGACATTTGACGGTACCTAACACAGATTCCCCTATTGTTTCATAGATGGCGCTCTATACAAATTTTTGATTTAAATCATTTTAAGATAATAATAAGTATTTGTCGTAGAAAAAGTATAGTATGCACCTCTTTTATAAACTTTTCTATACACTCATTAATTTAAGAACTCGCTCGCAAGCTCGCTCGTGCCTAAATTAAATTCGTGTATAAAATGGCGTTTATCAAACTTGATACATAATATACTATTACAGACTATGAATATTATATTTCATAATAGTATATTATGTATCAAGTTTGATAAACGTCATTATATACACGAATTTAATTTAGGCTCGAGCGAGCTTGCGAGCGAGTGCTTAAATTAATGAGTGGATAGAAAAGTTTATAAACGAGGTGCATACTATACTTTTTCTACGACAAATACTTATTATTAATCTTATCTTAAAATGATTTAAATAAAAAATTTGTATAGAGCGCCATCTATGAAACAATAGGGAAATCTGTGTGTCACCGTCAAATGTCATTTTTTTTTATTTTATAAACACAGATTATAAAGGTTATAAATCGAAATGTATTTCTTGAAAATTGACAGTTTTTCACAGTGAAAGTAAAGAAAATGTTTTATGAATACTTTACAGTGGAGTCCCTGTCCGAATTTAAGTTATAGTTTACTGCTGGGGAAATTAAAAGGTCAGTACAATGTTCATATAAACTTTTCAAATATTGGCGTTAAGAAACTATTTAATACTTTTGTATTTTTGTATTGAGATAATAAAATAATTTTCACAGTTAGTATTATTTGACAAATGTCAACTAACTTAAAACTAACTTCAGCCTGTGACTAAAAACCTGTTGCCAACTTCAGCACGTGACTAAAGCGCAATAAAGCCACAACTTGTCAATGGGTATTTAAAAGGTCACTTAGTGTCATGGAAACATGTACGATAAAGGGCGTTTTAAAGGTGGGAGTAGAAAAAATAATTTATTATTTTAAACTTTAATAATGATTTAAGAAAATAAATTGTCAAAATTAAATGTTTGGACTTGTACTGTTCTTATTTTCGTCGATTCAAACATAGTTAAAATATTTTAACAAAAATGCATTTTACTTTTGGACTGATACTATTCTTGATCTTACCGATTCAATTACTGTTACTTATTAACTGTTAACATATTTTTTCTTAAAATATAAATATAACACCATTTGATTTTGAACTAGTTTTTTAGCCAAATCAATCGACCCATTTTTTTAAATAAAATTAAAAGTGTAGTGAAATTTATACTTCTATATATATGTACCTCAGATATATGTATACAAAAGTAGTAATTTTACCTCACTTTTAATTTTATTTAAAAAAACTCGTCGAGCTAAAAAACAAGTCAATATAACTTATTTTTACAAAAGATTATTTTTTAAGTAATAAAGAGTTGTTTTTATTTAATTAAAGAAATTCGTTTCCACACTTTATTTCTCCTAAAATTTTACAGAATTCCTAAATAAAATTTGTAATTTAGCCGTGGGAGCCCTGAACATGTTAATTTGTATTTAAATTCCATTATATTCAATGAATCATCATGCTATCACAATATCAAGTTTTTTTAGTACTAGTATCAGGGGCGTAGCTACCGCGGTATCAGCCGTATAAATGATACGGTGCTCCTGGCTAGGAGGGCCCCCGATTGCCTTCGACATGCGTAAGCAAAAAACATATTACCCACATGTTAAAAAATTGAGGCATAAAATTAAATAAATAAATAATATTATAATTTAATTGTTTATACTTCGATTTAATGAATTAAAATTTTCCCTCCTATCCCAACGAGGCCTTGAACTCATACGAATTGTTACTGCCCGCACCTTTCCGCTATGCGTTGTCTGCGGCGCAGTCTGCGCATAGTGTTCTGTGCTCTGCGCCGCATACTGAGTCTGCTTTGCTTGTTATTATCATAGGTTATATTAATAGCAAATTAGAAATAATTATTAACGTTACAATTATTTCAAATGACTTGCCTTTATTTTAAAAGATATTGAAGAACGGCAAATGTCTAAAACTAGACCAAATTTTAAAATTTGCCTGTACATAAAAAAGCTATGTATACATATATTATTTATTAAATTATAAAAAAAGCGTAAGTTTTGATTGGTGCGGTAACTTATAAACGAGAATCATTTTTCTTTTTTATTATTATTTATATTAAAATACATAAAAAGATACATATTTCCAAAGTTTAAATAAAAAAAATATTTAAATAAAATGGCAACGTATTAAAAAATGAAAAATTTAAAAAGAGTCAACAAAAGAAAAAAGTGAAACAATTTTTTTAACTTAAACAGCATTAACTATTTAATAAATTTACCATTTAAAAATTTCTCAATTTATTCATTAGTTATTACTTTTCTATTTTTTTTTTGATTTTCCACTAGTGTCAGGATGTAATTTTAAGTAATATTTTTTAATAAATTTCAAAACACAAGAACCTTTAGTTGGGTATTTTAAATTTAGAACAAAATATAGTCCAAACATTAACTGAAAAGATTCCAAAAAACTTGCACATTAAAGCAATCTTCAATGTATTCAATATTCAATATAAATATATAGTTCCTTATCTGAATATGGCTCTTTGTCCCCTTTTAATTGGTTCATGCCGCGATGAACTACCTGTTCAGGTGGTTGGTTCCGTGACTTCGACAGGTGGGGTGGCAGTTTACTTCGCGCTTTTAAAATTTTAGATTAGGTTTTAAATGCACTGACTATGCACTTTAAAATTGTTTATAGTTCAGAGCGGAGAAACTCTTACGTCTCGACCGTAGCAGTGTTGATTTGGTACTGTTATATATTACATTATACATTACATACTAGGGATGCACCGGATCGGGTATTTTGCCGATCCGGCCGGAACCGGAATTTTGGCCGCTGGCCGGACCGGATCGCCGGAATTCCGGCCGGATCGGGACCTAAATTTAAAATGTATGTGCATGCCTATTTTTATACGTAAAACATTGAAAATATTGAGGCTGATTTATTTTTATTTTTTTTTTAAACTAGCTACAGTATGCAGAGTGTTTATTACTATTAATTTTACCTAGATAGAAATTACTGTTTATTTAAATATTAACTTTTAATTAGCGTTAACAAAATTAAAACAATTCTACTCATTCAATTGGAGAATAGCAGCCACCTGCCAATAATAAAAAAATTAAAAAGAAGTCGGGGAACCACAGCCGCGGTCTATCATAGGCAAGGAAACACGCACACCCTTCACTGTTGACCAATTACAAAATATATCTGGAAAGCGATCCGGCCGGAAACGGTAGTTCCGGCCAACTGGCCGGAATTCCGGTGCATCCCTATTACATACATTTTTTATATATATACAGGGTGTCCCATAACCAATGGACAATACAGCAACTGTAGAAATAGGTCAAAATAGGTCGATTAACACAAATATGTCTTAGTAAAAACTTAATAATAAACGAGATACAGGGTGATAAATGTGGGATCTGATTTTTGAAAATTTCTTATGTTTGGAAAACTATTCAATTTATCAAACTCAAAATTTGTACACAATAGTTTTTAAGGACGACAAATTTGTCATAATTTTTATCAAAACTCCTAGAGGGCGCTAATGACACATGTGGAATTGGGTGAATTAATACTTACTTTTTTTACCCCTTGTATTATTAATAT